GACGGGGCCGCAGGGTAGGCGCCGGGGCCGCAAGGGTAGGCGACGGGGCCGCGAGGGCGGCTTGGAGGGGTCGTTAGGGCGGCTCGAAGAGGCCGCGAGGGCGGCACGAAAGGGCCGCAAGGGCGGCGCGACGCGACGGGGCCGTGAGGGCGGCGGAACGGGGCCGCGTGGGCGGCGCGACGAGGCCGCGAGGGCGGCGCGACGTGATGGGGCCGCGAGGGCGGCGCGACGGGGTCGCAAGGGCGACTCGACGGGGCCGCTAGGGAGGCGCGACGCGACGGGGCTGCTAAGGGCGGCGCGACGGGGTCGTGAGAGGGGAGCGCGACTCGGGCAAAGGCTGAGCGCGCTCCGGGCAGGAAAAAAAAACGGTGGGCCCTAGGAACAGTTCTCACAGGGGAACCTGCTCTGAACCATGTGAAATTGAACGAGAATGATTGAACTATGAAACAGTTGGGTACAAGTACTAACCTTAATTGGGTTGTACCCCTTATGGGCTACCCCACTACAGCCTACACAAAAGTATAAGCTATAATGTTCGGACATCCGTAGCGTGTTCGAAATGCGGTCTTAGGGCAGTCGGGTGGATTGACGCGAATCTGGTGGTAACCCCCGCGGAGATCGATTTTCGAGAAAACCCGCGCTGTGCGCAGTTGGTCGATCAGTTCGTCGGCTCGCGGGATGGGGTAACGGGATTTGATGGTAACCCTGTTCAATGCTCTGTAATCTATGCACATGCGAAATCCCCCGTCTTTTTTCGGTGTGAACAGTATCGGTGTTGCGAAGGGCGACGAACTAGGGCGAATGAATTCCTTCTCGAGCAGGTAATCGAGCTGCTTCCTCAGTTCGTCCAGTTCGGGATGGGTCAGTCGGAACTGTCGCTGTACTGTTGGCTGTGCCCCCGGTTCTAACTCTATCCTGTGGTCGTGCGGTCACTAAGGTGGTAGTCCCGTCGGTAAATCGTCCGGGAAAATGTCGCTGTACTCCTTCAAGAGTGCTGCCAGGTCAGTCGGTACGTCGGCCAGCAGTTTCTGTAAATCCCCTCCTTTGTCTGCTGCCTCGGCTTCCCGAATGTCGACCGCGTACACGTCAGCTTGTGCCGCTACGGCGCGTTTCATCGTGATCGCGTTGACACGCACCGACGAAGACTCAGGTGAGCCCCAGCGATGTAAGTCGATGTTGTTACCGTTCACTCGCACGGTGCCGTCACCCGTCGTCCAGTCGATTCGCGGAATGTGTCGTCACAACCAATCACGCCCGAGTAAAATATCGGTTCCGTCGAGGGTCGTGGCGAGCATTTCCTGGCTAAATGTGAGGTTACCCCCACATCGAATCCGAACCCAGTCTACGCGTTCCCGTATCGCCAGCGGCGTGCCGTCTACCAGTCTTGCGTCGATCTCAGGTAAGCATCTGTCTAGTGGCAGTCGCAGTTTTGGTGCTGTGGCAGTGTTGATGAGGCTGTGGCTTGCTCCCCCGTCTACGAAGATTTTTACTAAGTCCGTCCCGATTTTCCCACTAAGTAGTATGTGTAAGAATGAACGAGAATGAATGCACTATGAAAGAGTTGGGTACAAGTACTAACCCTAATTGGGTTGTACCCCATATAGGCTACCCCACTACAGCCTACACAAAAGCATAAGCTATAATGTTCTGACACACCCCCATAGGCAAAGTGGGGGAGAACAAAGGGTCACAAGACCAGTCAAGCAAAGTAAAGCAAAACAAGCTTAGGGTGGATCACAAAGTCACCACACATTCCGAGCACAAGGTCAAGGCCACAAGGCCAGGTCACATGCAGGAGTACATATATATATATATATAAGACTAGACAAGCAAGAGCAGGTGTATATATATATGTAACACTACAAGCAACGTCAAGAGGTGAGCAAGTGAGGCAAGACAGGCACAAGACCCAGCTGAGTACAGAAGCGCTGATGATCACAAGGCGCAAGCGCCTTGATGAAGATAACAGCAGTGTTGGCCTCAGAGGCCACGTACGCAAGACGCAGGTAACCACGCTGCTGTAGCTCACGAGCAAGGAAGTAGCGAAGAACAATGTGCTTCGTTCTGTGCTCCAGTCTCTGCTCTCGACACACCGCCAGCATGGCCTTGTTGTCTACGTACAGCACTGGAAGAGAACGAGGCGGCTCTCCGAGGTCATTCAGCAGGTAGGTGAGCCAGCGAAGCTCCTGTGCAGCCATGGCCCCGGCGTAGATTTCAGCCTCACAACAAGAGCCGAGAACAGAAGACGAGCGGGTAGCCCGCCACGAAACAGAGCCGGAACCAAGGCTAAAGGTGTAACCCTGTGACGACCGCTGCGTAGCCTGATCGTCAGCCCAAGAAGCGTCTGCGTGCTCAGTGAGAACCACTGGACTTTGCCCTCCAAGCACAAGCCCCATGCCTAACGTACTACACAAGTAGCGCAATACCCTCTTCGCTGCAGCCATGTGCTCCGGTCTGTGTCTCCCAGGAGCAACATAGCGTGCAAGAATGCTAAGAGGGTATGCAAGGTCAGGTCGAGTGCAGGTCATCAGGTACATGAGGCAGCCAACAAGCTCTGGGTACGGGCCACTCGACTCTATGGACTCATCCGAAGGCAGAGCTGAGAGGAGTGGCCTGAGGCGAGGAGTACGTGAAGCCGAAGCGCTGAAGGACCTGCTGCACCATGTGTGACTGAGTCAGGGTAATGGTGCGGCGTGCTCTGTCCCGGGTGATCTGCAAGCCAAGGTAGCTGCGCAGTTCACCCAGGTTTGTGCACGTGTGTCTCTTCTGCAGTTTGGACTTCACGTGGGCGAGTCCAGCAGTGTCAGCTGTGGCAAAGACCAAGTCGTCGACGTACACGAGGATGTACAACGGCGGCAAAGAAGTGTCGGTGCGCAGAAACAGCGACGGGTCGGCAGTAGAGGGACCAAACCCAAGAGCCGCAAGTATAGTCCTCAGTGTGTCGTGCCACTCACGCGGTGCCTGGCGGAGACCGTAGACTGGCCGCCGGAGGCTGCACTGGGTGCCAGGAGGAAAAGTCCCAGTGAAGCCAGGTGGGCGGCGCAGCCAGATCTCTTCGTGCAGGCTGCCCTGCAGGAAAGCTGTGTTGAAGTCAAAAGAGTAAAGCTCGTAGTCACAGTGAATAGCTATGTGTAGCAGTACCCAAAGAGTGGTCATTTTCGGGGTGGGAGAGAAGGTCTGAAAGTAGTCAACTCCCTGCCGCTGACTGAAGTCACGAGCCACGTAACGCGCCTTGAAGACAGGCGGAGAACCCGGCGGCCGCTTCACCCTGAAAATCCACATGCCACTGACGATGTTCGTCACAGGCGGGGGAACCTCGTCAACGTAGGTGCCTGTGGACTTCCAGGAAGCCATCTCTGCGTCCATAGCTACCTGCCACTGAGAGGAGTAGGGACCCTCTATCGCCTCCGCGTAAGAGTGCGAAGTCGAGATGTCAAGTGCATCCGGGTCTCTCAGAGGGGTAAGCAGTACGGACACGAGATGAGGTGAAACAGCAGTCAGACACTGGAACTCCTCATGTCTGTCCTCAAGGACGTCCGTGCCAAGGGCACACTCACCCCCGACGGACGGATGACAGACAGACTCAGACTCAGCAACAAGACTGGCGGCGTAGTCTAGGCGACAGCGACCAGCAAAGTCGACGAGCTCAGCAACTAGGGCAGACGCAGCAGTGGACTCAAAAGAAGGGTCAGTGACAACAGTAGCAAGAAGACGCGTGACAGTAGGACTGGCAGCACGAAAAGAGTCCGACTCCGGGTCGGCAAGAGCAGGAAGAGAAGACTCAGGAGAAGAAGGTAAAGGGGCACGCAGAGGAGCAGTGGACGGACGCAGAGACATCCGGTGCGTGCCAGGGACAAGAGGAGGACGCTGACGCGAACCGCGACCACTAGTGCGAGCAGCACGGACAGGCGACGCAGGGCGAGATGCAGGCTCACGACGCTCGGCAAGACCTCCAGTAGGACCAGTGTAGGGAGACGGAGCAGGCAGTGGGGAGGCCGACTGTAACTGTAACTGTGACGAGACAGGCTGTGGACACTCTAAGGGAGGAAGAGGACCAGTAGAAGGCGGGAGACCAAGAACCTGTTGAAGGAGCGGAACGAAGTACGGCCGAGGCCGCGCGGCGACTCCAGACACAGCAGGGACAGCACCAGTACCCCCAGCGGCAGCACCAGCACCAGCAGCACCTCCAGCTCCAGTACCTCCAGCAGCACCAGTAGCACCCCCAGCAGGACCGCCTCCAGGACCGACAGCAGTAGCCTCCGCGCCAACACCCGCAGCAGCTCCAACTCCATAAGTACCCGCAGGCCCAGCTGCTCCAGTACTCCCAGTACGAGCACCTCCGGGACCCGCGGCACCAGCACCATCAGCAGCAGTAGAACCTCCAGTACCCGCAGCACCTCCAGCTCCAGCAGCTCGCCTCTAGCGCCGGGCAAATCACTCACGCAACTCCTGTGGAGAGAGTGGCTCCCGGCGAGACGAGGCAACAGGAGAACCGCCAGGCTCAACACCGCCAGACGCTACACGAGCAGGGCCCAGCTCCCTAAGGCTCAGCACCTCCAAGCGTAACAGCTCCAGGCTCAGCACCTCCAGGCTCAGCACCTCTAGGCTCGGCACCCCCAGGCTCAGCACTCCCAGGCTCAACACCCCCAAGCTCAACACCCCAGGCACCCCCAGGCTCAACACCAGCACCTTTTCTCGAAATCATTGAAGATCAATACTTTATTAGCACAATAATACATGGCAGAGTGAGATTCATCATGTGGATTGCAGGAACTTGTGAGCATTCTACAATGCATGCCTTGCACGCCACACAGCCAGGCAACCGTCAGACAATCCCCTAGGCCACATGATAAAACACACCACTGCTGTAACACAACTAAGCACACAACTAAAAATTAAAGCTAGCACAGGACTTGTGTTTGATGAAGGTTGCTTGCTAGATCTGACAGAAGAGAAGGAGCAGCGAATAATATATGAAATGCGCTTGCATGTGACGCGCCCTAATTGGCCCACACGCCGAAGAATTCCGCATCACCGGAAGCAGCAATCTGCGACGCATCAAACGCATCGAAATCATCAAGCATGTCGCGGAAGATGTTGTCCGTGTTATCGATCGGCGCCAGGTCCGCAAGCAGCGAGTTCAAGCACTCCGCGTCCTCCTCGCTGCTCGTCTCGCTCTCAGTCGCCTCCAGCTTCACTCCGCCCATTGCGTGCGACGGCTCCAACTCCGGAATAAACGCAGGCGACGCAGGCGCAGCGGGGGAAACGGGGGATGAGGGCGAGGCGGGGGACAATGGGAGGGAAAGGCCGGCGGTGTGGATGGCCTGACCCTGCAGGGATTTCTCGAGCGCATCGGCGATTTCTGACGTGTCGAACATCTTTGCGGCCTCGCGGCTCGCCTTCAGCAGAGTCTCGGCGGTAGCGGGCGGCAGCGGAACCAGCTGGAAACTGCCGGGGAAGTTCAGCGAGGCCTTGGATCCGCGGAGCAGGCGCGCGGCGACGTCGTAAGCGCGGGCGGCATCCTCAGGTGAGTCGAAGGAGCCAAGCCAAATGCGCGTGCGCTTGCGGGGCTCGCGGATTTCCGAAACCCACTTCCCCCACTTGCGCTGGCGCACGCCCTTGTAGCGCGGGCCCTGGTCGCGCGCCGCGTTGCACACGACAACTTCAGAGTCGGAATCCTTGTCTTCCTCCTCCGACGACCACGTGGCAGCGTCGAGAGAAGTCGGCTCCTGCTTGGCGCGCTTTCCGCGGACAGACTTGGCGGAGTCGCCACCACGGGAGCGCTTACCCGCGAAGACCTTCTCGAGAATAGGCAGCGACGACGGATGGGAACCCTCGGAAGATGCGGGGGATGGCGCGAAGGATGTTGCCGCAGATGGTGCCGGAGAGGGCGCGTCGTGCGCGATGAGCGGATGCGGCGCGGGGAGGGGGGCGGAAACGGGAGCCTGGGAGAGAGCGTTGAGAGCGGGGACGGCGAACGAGAGGGAGGACTGAAGCTGGTGGAGGGTGTCGACCTGCTGGCGCTGCTGCTGCTGCTGTTGTTGCTTCATGGCGCGCTGGTTCTGGCTGACGGCGTCGACGAGGCGCACGAGCCCCATTATCGCATTCTGCGCCGCGAGAAGAGCATTGCCGAGAGCCGCCTCGCCGTCAACAGGGGGGTCGACGAGGGGAGAGACGGGGGAGGAGAGAGGAAACGACTGCTGCTGCTGGTACTGCTGCTGATACTGGAAGTCCATTTTTCAGAAGAAATTGAAGGAATCGAGAACCAGGGTTGGGATAATGAAGTCGAACAGAGCTTGAGAGAAAGGATTGAAGAGAGCTGCGGAGTCGCAGTGAGAGGAAAAGGGAGCTGCTTCAGGGGCTTCTGAAAGGAGGCTGGAGGAATATATTTCAAGAAGTCTTGAGAGAGAGCTTTTAGAAGAGAGGTATTGGAAGTCTGGATTCAAAGAGAAGGGGGTGTAAGAGGATCGTTAGGGAAGTAAGGAGGCAAGTCGTAGCCTACTTACTCCGCTAAAAGGACATCTCCTGCCTGGCGGCGGAGAGATGTCAGTTTAGCAGAGAAGAGGAACGAAACGCGAACTCGACTAAGGGAACAAAACCGCAGAGCGGCGCAGGATCGCACTATCAGAACGCTTTTAGAGAGCAGTTGTAAGCTTTGGTAAGTGAGCACTGGAAAATGAAATGACAAGAGAAGCTGATATAATTGTTCAGCAAGAGGGGCCGATGGGGGCAAGGAACAATCGTTTGCTGGAGGAGGAAGTGGTTGGACGGGATGGGCGGAGCGGGAGGGGAGATGTGCGCAGCTTGAGGGGATGTGCAGATCGGCATTCGGGACGGGTTCTGGGGGGAGCAGCCCCGCGGGATGAAAGAGATGGCGGGAAAGTGGAAGGGTGGATGGATGGAGAGGGCGGGAGGGAGGGAGGGAGGGGAGGTGAACGGGGGAAGTGAGTGAGGGAAGAGAAGCTACGAGGAAGGGAAGCTCAACTGAAACCCCGACGCTTTTGGCACCAAGAATTTCGCCGATGATTGCGGGCAGGGGGACCTGTTGCAGAGGTTCTGCGCGCCCAACTTTTCCAGAAGGCTCATCAAGATGCGGTCGATGTTGAACTGGCATCACGGGGGAAGACGCCCGTGCAGATCTTGTAGAACTTGGAGAGGGGGGGAACGTGCGCTGCGCTTGGGACCACGAGATTGCGCCCCCCGCCATCTCCGGTTCAGAATGGCGCTCCGCGAAGCAAGTTCAGCAGCGCGGCTGAAGCGGGTCAATCTGACGTGAGCCCGCGACGCGAGTCTGCAATGTGGGCTGCTTGGAGCAAAGCGTCACGTGAGTGATGCAAGCAGGCCACCTCACCAACAAAACAAACCAGAATCGAGGGGTTGGTGCAAGAAAACTGCATGTAGGCAGTACATGTCGACACTTAACGGAACACAGGGTGTGAAGGCAAGCCTGCGAGCATCCATAACTAACAAGTCAGAGAACTTCTAAATAACGGCAAGCTGTAACTGAGGGGAACATTCCCCTAGGTCCCTAAGCCCACTGGCCCAGATGAATCCAAAAGGCGCAAGTTGGGTTTACAATCTATCCAGCTGTATTAGTGACGGCGGGGCAGAAAAAAAATTCGATTGAGTGACACCCGCTTGAAGCATATAGCTCTGAAGTTGTTAAGCCAATGAGACACGTATAACATTAGATGCATACAGGCAGCAGCCAAACAGCTTAAATCAAGGAATTTAATGCACAACATTGTTTGAAAGCATTTCTCTGTCTCATTTTGAATCGCTAAATATGGAGTCAACAACTGTAACAGCCGCCGCCCTAGCTGCAATATCGCCTGACATGGCATGCTCCTCAAAGTACCTCATCAGCCCTTGAAGCTTGCCTCCTGACCTAAATCTGGACAAAGGAGCCAAAACGAAAAATGTGCGCGTTGACCACGTGAAAACATGGTCAGAAGATAAGCATAACGGAACATAAAAACAACACATTGTAAATATGGGAAAAAACATCAATGGGACTCACTTGTACAGTATTTCTGCCTCCACGGTGCTCCACAGCAGTGCCTTGTTCTGAGCGCCCCTCAGCTGTTGCAGTTCACCAGACGAGCGCATGGCTTCCTGGAACTTGCCTATCTTCTTCCACACGTCCTCTATGCCCAGCCCTGTGCGCGTGCTGCATGCCACTACCTGCAGGGCCAAGGGGGCAGTCATGGAGAAGGGTGTGAGGTTGTACAGGAGCAAGCTGAAGCATGGAGAGCAGCATGCATGGGTGGAGCTTGAATGAAACAACTGAGACATTTCAACACGTGGTCTCACCGGGGTCATCCAGATGTTGTCGGCTCAATTCATCCGGAGTCTGCTTTGAAAAACTGGAACATCCCACCAACACAAGCTATCTCACCGGGGTCATCCAGAAGTCATAGCGTGGGTGCACAAAGTGCAGCGCGTTGCTGTACTCGCCCACTGCTGCCAGCGCCGCCCCCTCCATTGCGCCATCCGCCTTGTTCACCACCACCAGGTCGGCAATCTCCACCACTCCTGGATACGATTAGGACGGGAACAGGGAGGATGGGAGGGGCGGGCACAGGTGTGTGTGCCATTACTGCCAGCACTGCCAGCGCCGCCCCCTCCGTGGCACCGCCTGCCTTGTTCACCACCACCAGGTCCGATATCTCCACCACTCCTGCACATGAGTAGCAGGAGCGAGTGCCAGGAGAGAAGGGAACGGAGACGATGGGAGGGGCGGGCACAGTTGATGCGCAGTTGTGTGTGCCAGCACTGCCAGTGCTGTACCCTCCATGGCACCGTCCGCCTTGTTCACCACCACCAGATCAGCCATCTCCACCACTCCTGCCCGAGGGCAATGAGGAGAGGAGAGGAAGGGAGGAAGGGAGGAAGGGGGAGAGAGTGCAAAGGCACAGCTGATGGCAGTTGTCGGGAGAGGGTCTGGAACGATGATGGCAGTTGTCGGGAGAGGGTCTGGAACGATGATGGCAGTTGTCGGGAGAGGGTGTGGAACGATGATGGCAGCTGAGGAAGGGGGAGAGGGTGTGGAACGATGATGGCAGCTGAGGAAGGGGGAGAGGGTGTGGAACGATGATGGCAGCTGAGGAAGGGGGAGAGGGTGTGGAACGAGCCCCTCCATGGCGCCGTTTGCCTTGTTCACCACCACCTCCACCACTACTCTACTGCACAGTGAAAGGGAATGAATGAACGGCACTGCACCGTGCTGCACTGCACTGCACAGCTCTTTCTCCACCCTTTTTCTATGCCCTGTTCCTCGTCGCCCCCAGTGGGTGGCACCAGCAGCACCATGTCAACGACATGCGCCTCCGCTCCTTCCCCACGCCCCCCCCCCCCCCCCCCCCCCCCCCCCCCCTCTCACTGCACTGCACTGCACCTCACTGTACTACACACCTTTCTTGATGCCCTGCAGCTCGTCGCCCCCAGCGGGCGGCAGCAACAGCAGCACCATGTCTGTGATCTGCGCCACTGCCACGTCAGCCTGCCCGCCCCCCACCGTCTCCACCAGTAGCACGTCACACCCACTCGCCTGCACATGAGAAGAGTGGAGGAGGGTGTAGAAGGGGGGGGCGTGGGTGTATGGATGGAGGGGCATGGCAGAGCGGTATCAGCAGCACTCTGGAGTGTTGTTGATCAGCACCACCACACCACACCACATTGAATCTCCCCACACCATCTCCACACCACGACATCGCACCCACGAGCCTGGACATAGGGAGGAGGGGAAGAGCTCAGCTCACAACACACACACTCTCCACCTCGCACCCACTGCCTGAATACCCACCCCGTTTTCGCTCCCTCTCCCCCACTCCCGCCCCCTCCCTTTTCCACTCAACCTCCCCCTTCCCCTTCCCCTCCCCCCCCCCCCCCTCCCGCTCCCCATCCCCCCACCTCGCACAGCAGGGCGGCGTCAGCAGTGTTGCGCGCGAGCCCGCCCACCTCCTTCTCCTCTTCCCCCCCTTTCACCTCCCCATCCCCCCCCAACCCACCTCGCACAGCAGCGCGGCGTCAGCAGTGTTGCGCGCGAGGCCCCCCACCTCTCCGCGCGAGGGCGTGGGGCGGATGAACGCGGAGGGGTGCGCGGAGAGGCGCTCCATGCGCGTCTTGTCTCCCAGAATGGACCCCCCGCTGCTGTGTGACGATGGGTCGATGGCCAATACTGCCACTCGCCTGTCGTCCTGAACGGCGTGCATGCCCAGGCCTGGGGGCAGGTTTGGAGAAAGGGATGGGGGGAGTGAGATGGACCCTCCCCTGCTGTGCGGTGACGGGTCGATGGCCAGCACGGCTACTCGCCTGTCGTTCTCCACCGCGTGCATGCCCAGGCCTGGGAAATGGGGGTAGGGAAGAGGGGGAGTTGGGAGGGGAGGGGAGGGGAGAGGGAGAGGCGCTCCATGCGCGTCTTGTCGCCCAGGATCGACCCCCCGCTGCTGTGTGACGATGGGTCGATGGCTAGTACGGCTACTCGCCTGTCGTCCTGAACCGCGTGCATGGCCAGGCCTGGGAGCAGGTTGGGGAAAAGGGAGGGGGAATGTGCGATAGACCCCCCCGTGCTGTGCGATGACGGGTCGATGGATAACACGGGTACTCGGCTGCTGTCCTCAACTGCGTGCACGTGCAGGCCTGGAGGAATCGGGGATATGGGGAGACGGCAGAGGGGAGAGGGGGAATCTCGCTAGCACGCGGTCGAGGACGACAGGCGCCCAATCATCCGCCCACACCCACGTTTGCTCAGAGACGACTTGCCCACGCTGGATGAATTTTCAGTCGACTAGAAAGTCTACTTCTCCTATATCTTTTCCCCCTCTCTCTCTGCCGCGTCTGATCCTATACTCCTCATCCCCAGCAGACGCACGTTCGATCAGCGACGATTTCCCCGCGCCGGGCGGCCCCGTGATTCCGATCTTGAAGATTCCATCCCTAGCCTTCCCCGCCTGCGCCTTCCGCGCGCGCACCGCCTCCAGCACGTGCTGCAGCAGCGCCGCGGCCTGCGGGCGGTGCGACTCGCGCACGGACTCGCAGAGCGTGATCGCGCGGCTCAGCGCGTGCAGATTGCCGTCCAGAACGTCCTGCGCGAGCCGCGCGAATTTCGGTTCGAGCGGCGGGAGATGGAGCTTCGGATTGGAGGCGAAGGTGCGGGAAAAGGAGGCGGGCGGAGCGGGAGATGCGGGGGATGCTGGAGATGCAGGGGAGTGGGTGTTGGTGAGAGCGGAGTGAATTGCGGCGGGATTGGCGCAGGGCGTGGCCCGCCCTCCGCGCCGGGTGACGCGGAGGGCGCTGGAGGCGCATCGAGAAGCGGCGGTTCGCCACATGGCTGCGGCGAAGGACATGTAAGGACTGCCGTCGCCGCTCCTCGTGTGTGTGTACCTACCTGACCTGCTGCGAGCACCTTCCGATAGATGTTATGGGTGATGGGGGTGCTATATTTACGAAGTTCAGACGAATTCGTTTCGGTCAACGCCTGCATTGGAGAGATCGAGGCCAATTGTAACGAATTGCGAGGCACGAGATGAATCGATGCTGATTGGTCGCAGGTGCGTGTCCCTCGGTTGGATCTTTCCTGCTCGATGGCTGAGAGAGCTGCCACGTGCACTGCCGCTTCCCTGATTCATGGGCTCAGAGATCTCTCCGCTATTGAGCACACGGAACCCCCAGACACTTACCGTATAAACTGCTTTCTAAATATAGAAACTATTGTCATCACGTTTGGATAAGCACGCTGCGGCTAATTTCAGCAGCCTTGGCGGCTCTTTGTGCTACTCTCTCATAGTCCCGGCTTCTGAGGTCCTCCTTTTGAAAAATGGCTTCAGACAGAACAACAGCAACGGCCCCAGCTTCCAGATACCCCTGGATCATGTCTGCAGAGCACAGAGCGGAAATGCATTCATACGTATATAAGAGGCAACGCAAATATATTGGTATGCGAAGCAACTGTAAACCAATAATTCGAGCATCAACTCACCCATCTGAATGCCATGTGCCGGCACTATCCCGATGGAGGGCACTGCTCGGTGCATGGCCCTCACCAGTGCCTGCCCCCCTGCATAGGGCGCTGGGAATAGCTGATGGGAGGAGGGAGGATGGGTGAGGGGAGAGAGAGGATGGGTGACGAGAGGGTGGGTTGGAATAGCAGTGAGAATGAGAGGTGTGGATTGTGGCACTGCCGCAATGGACATGGCACCACTCGATGCATGGCATGTGATGGGCAGGAAATCAGTTAACATCACATTGCTGCATGGCATGGTGTGGCACACGGAACAGCACGGCATGGTGTGGCATGGCATGGCATGGCATTGGACGGCACAGGATCTCCCCACCTTGACCAGGGGAGCTCCAAGGCGCGACGCTGAGAGGATCTGAGGGAGCAATGGGGCAGCAGAGTATGTGGGAGAGGGGAGACGAGGAGGAGAGCACAGTAACAGTGTGAGTGAGTGAGACAGGGAAAGGGCACCATGAGCACAGCACAGGCAGGCACGAATGATACAATTCATGCGCAGTGGGCTGAGTGCATGTGCCTCAGGGACGGCATACCTCGGTGGGAGTCATGGCACCGGGTATGAAGACCATGGGACCTGCTGCATGTGCTGCCACTATATCCTGCCGGGGGTGATGGAGTGTGCGACATGCACAATGCACATAGCATGAGATGTGCATATGGGATGAGACACGCGAACACAACGGACAGGAATCCAAAAGGCACCATGAGACGGAAATACCGCAGTAAAGGCATGCGCTCATGGAACCATGACATGGCGTGAGCAGGTGGCACCATGACATGGCACATACCGCATCAGTGGCAGGGCTCATGAGGAAGCGAGCACCAGCACGTTGAGCTGCCATGGCGTCTTGCATTGAGAGAACTGTGCCCGCCTGTGGTAGGCAGGGGGGGCACATGGTGGGTGGCAGCATGGCACTGATGGGCGCATGGGAGCTAAGATGACGTGAGGGAGAGGAGGGGCACACAGCATGAGCGTTGTGGGAAGGGCATGGGGGCATGAGGAGCACGAGGGTGTGCAGAAGGCTGCATGGAGCATGGTGGTGAGGCGAAGAGAGGAGGTCTACATGCTGTGTGCGGTACACTCACGCACTCACTCACCCCTATGGTGGCATGTGGGAACTCCGTGACTAGTGATGCAATGACCTGCAGGGAGGGGGAGGGGTATGAGAGGGGTGAGAGAGAGGCGTGGGAGGAGGGCAGGGGTGAGAGCGATAGATATAGGCAGGGAGAAGGGGACATGTGCGAGGGAGAGAGAGAGAGCAGATGTATCTCACATTTAAGCAGGTAGAAGGGGACATGTGCATGTGCACACCACACCACACCACACCGCACCACACAGCACTGCAAACCATGCGCGCACCTGGAAAGCGCCAGGGGTTGTGCATGTGACCTCAAGCTGCCGGGAAGGGGAGGAAGGGGAGGGGAATGCAGGTGAGTGGGGGCGCGGCACGACAATGGAGCATCACGTAAGGGACCGTGCAGGGAGGTTGGGTCAGGGAAGTGAGATCGAATGCTGGTCTGGGAAATGGCACACGGGTGGTGCTGGGCGGCAGATGTGTGTAGAAGAGACGGCAGGCATGGTGTGGGTGGGGAGGCGGCGACTCACCACTCGGATCCCCGCGGAGAGCGCAGCACGAGAAGCGGAGAGCGCCACGTCAGCACTGCATCAGCAGGGCGAGGGGATGGCATGAGTGGGGCAGAGGAGAGCGCACGGGTGATGTGGATGGGGGGATACAATCGATGGGTGGTTGTGACCCATGGCGCGGTGTGAACAGCTGAACAACTGGAGCGTTGCTGTTGATGGTCGCCTCCCCAACGATAAGTGCTTGCAAGCCATGGCATTGCTGGCCATCCAACTCCTGCTGCATTGCTGTGCCACTGACCCTCCCTCACTCTGCTACTACTCATCACTCGCCCTCGCGCTCACTCCCTCTCCCCGCACTGGCCACTCGCTCTGGCCCTCTTCCCCCCTCCCCTTCTGTCGCATCCAACTTTTCTCCCACTTCCCCCGCGGCGCGCACCTGTCGGCGCGCACGCACGCCACGATCCCCGACGCCGCGATTGCCGCCACTGTCTGCTGCCGCCTATCAGCATCGGACACGTGGCCCGTCGCACCGTCGCTCCGCACGGCTGCCTCGGTGACGTCAGGAGTTGGTGACAACTGGATGCCACTGGAGCGGCCGTTTACTACGTGGCACCGGACGGACGCGTGGTGCTGACTGCGTGCTGGCGTGGCATTGCACGAGGACGTGGCTACGCTGATGGCGCTCATGGTTTTTGCACCCTCGGAGATCGCACGCGGCGGGAAGGGGTTACGCGGGGAGACGCATGGCGGGGAGGAAAGCCGCGCGACCCGCGCGCAGGAGGCGGAGAATGCCGCGGTTTCCATACTACGACCCCGCTAGCTACAGCAGAAGACGAGGGAAGAGTGATGCGCGGACAAAAACGACGAGTTGTGGGGAGGTGTAAACGGAGTTGACAGGTTATGGCGGCAGAAAGAAACGCGAAGGATATGGGGGTGTGAGGGTGGAGAGAGAACAGAATCCCGAATTCAGCGGATGAGAAAAACCTCACAGCCAGATGAACAGGTTCACGTCATGAAGTTCGGTTTGAAATTGTGAAAGCTAGGTCTGCGCATACACTTGTTTTGCCATTCCCACAGCTATAATACTATCGAGTTCGTCTCGAATTTAAATTTCTTCCGTCCAGTCAAGGTACAAACCGTCTTTGAACGTGTGCCACCGTACTTAACCGTATTAACTGTAATGAGCGCCTTCATCGGGGAAGTACACGGCCAGAAGCCTCGCCGCCGCCCTGCCACGCCACCAATCGAGTGCTTGCTTGCTCCCCCGCGTCCTTGAATCTGCGGCCAGGAGCAAACGCAAGGCTGCATCTGTCCCATCCCATCCCATCACACAAACACGTGGGAGAGCTTGAAGAGATACATTTCTCTCTCTTGTAGGCATTATCTGTCAGGCGCAGCTGCTTTCCTCCCTTGCAGTCCACCCCGTACGGCAGCCCCAGCATCGCAGCGCCTCGCCTCCTTCCCACTCGCTTTCCAAGCGCCTCGCTCTGCCTCTCTCTGTGCTTTGCGCTGCCCTCACTTCTGTCTCTCTGGTTTCGGAAGAAAGAAAACCCAGGAAATCCCTGCCTCTCTGCTTTTGTCCTCCGCTACGCGAGCCATGACCGCCGCACTCTCCCCCTCCCTGGCTCTCGCGCGCTCGTCTCAACTCCGCGCTGCCCTTTGTTTCCGTCCCGGTCACAATACATGGCGGCCACTTATCCAAAGTAGTCCACTCGCGCCGCAATCTACGGCCCGTGATTGCCGGTTGTGGAAGCAATCGCGACGCGCAATGGCGACAGCGGCGGCTGCGGCGGGGGATGCGTCAGGCGGGCAGACGTCAGTGAGTGCCGGCCGGAATGGCGCCACCAGCACCGCCGTCGGCCCGGACGTGACGGAAACCGGCAAGTCTGCCGGCCGCGAGCGGACGGTGCGGCTAACGTCACGCGGGATCGTGTGGACGGACGACGAGGTAGAGCGCGTGCTGACGGACGCGCGGAAGCGCATCGGGCCGCGCCACGTGGACATGATGACGTGGCGGCGCGCGATCCACGCGTATCCTGAGCTGGCGTTTGAGGAGGAGCGGACGGCTGAGATGGTGGCGGGATTGCTGGCGGAGTGGGGGTATGACGTGGACAGGAGCCTCGGGAGTACCGGCGTGGTGGGGACGCTGACAGTGGGGGAAGGGGGCAGCGCGGAGGGCGGAGAGGCGGAGGAGCTTCCGCCGGCCATCATGCTGAGGTGCGTTATAGCGAGGATGGTGGAGTGTCGCGTGGGAGGTGCGGTGGGGCTATCAGCTGTGCGCGCATCGTGGAAACACCCTGTGGGGAAGACATGGGAGAGGAATAGAGACCTGCATTGTCCTATAGTTGCGCCATGCTCACTTACCGCACACTTCCTTTCCTATGCACTTCCCTTGGTGGCCATGTGAACTCCTCCTCCTCTCTGCTCCTCGCCCCTACACTTCCTATTCTCCGCCGAATGCCCGCCCCTCCTTCCCCACTTCCACACGTCCTCCCTGTGCGAGCGCGCAGGGCGGACATGGATGCGCTCCCCATGGAGGAGGGCAACGCGTTTGAGCACCGCTCACAACGCCGCAGCACCATGCACGCATGCGGGCACGACGGTGAGACGCGCATGCGTGTGCATGCATGATTGTTGAGGCGCCATGCCCATGCCATGCCATTTATGCCCACGTGGCACAATGCGCGCATGAGATTGTCTTCCCTTACCTGCTGCATGCATTACCCCTTCTCCAGCCGCCACTCACTCTGCTGTTCCCCGCTCCCTCCTTCCCCTCCTCCCACCCCCCCACCACCAGGCCACACGGCCATGCTGCTGGGAGCAGTGCGTTACCTGGCGGAGCACCGCCCCTTCCGGGGGTGCATCCTCGTGGTGTTCCAACCCGCCGAGGAGGGCACGCCCCCACACAATCATCAACCTGCCAAACCTTATGCCCACGCTCACTGACACACAACTGCCTGCCCTTCTCCTTTCCTCCTCATTCCCCTCCCTACTCTTCCCCCCCACCCTCCGTCTGCCCACGCTTCACGGGCCACGTGGCCATGCTGCTGGGAGCAGTGCGCTACCTGGCGGAGCACCGCCTCTTCAGAGGGCGCATCCACGTGGTCTTCCAACCCGCCGAGGAGGGCACGCCCACTGGCAAATCCTGTTCGCCCCTGCTGCCCCTCCACCCCTCCAACCTCATACGGGCCACGCGGCCATGCTGCTGGGAGCAGCGCGCCATCTAGCCGAGCACCGCCTCTTCCGGGGGCGCATCCATGTGGTGTTGCAACCGGGCGAGGAGGGCCCGCGTGCACACAAGCACCCGTAAACCCACGCGCACTGGCAAGCCAGATCCCCAACCCCACTAACCAGTCAACTGCCGTCCCTTGTCCTTCCTTTCCCCCTCAGGCCACACGGCCATGCTGCTGGGAGCAGCTAGATATTTAGCCCAGCACCGCCCCTTCCGTGGTCAAATTCACGTGGTGTTCCAACCCGCTGAAGAGGGCACGCCCACAGAGAACCAATACGGACGGGAGGGCGGGGGCGCGCTGGCCATGCTGGAAGATGGGCTGCTGGAGAAATACCCCGTGCGTGCGGCATTCGGCATGCACAACTGGTAATGGATGGGGTGCTGATGGTAAGGGTGGTGATGGCAGGGCATAGATGACTGGTAACAGGATATGGATAAGTGGTACAGGCATTGGCGTTGCTGCATTACGCACTGCTAACTTGCTTTCGCGACCGTTCACCCATTGCAACCCCTTGTCATCCCTCGCTCCCGCCCCTGCAGGCCAGGACCAGTGATGGCGGGGGTGGACAACTTTCACATCACTGTGGGGGTTACAGGCTGCCATGGAGCACCAAACGTCTACCCAATCTTACACCTTGTCCCTGCCCGTCCAGGCCAGGACTGCCGGTGGGGCGGTTTGCAGTCCATTCAGGGCCTGTGATGGCGGGAGTGGACAACTTTCACATCACGGTGGGGGGCACGGGCTGCCATGCCGCCATGCCTCATCTGGGAGGGGGCAGTGACCCCGTGCTGGCTGCTGCTAACCTCGTCACCAACCTGCAGGTACGCGTGTGAGGGCGTATGTGCATGGGTGAGCATGGGTGTGAGTGTGTGCATGTGGAGGGGGTCTTTCCATGGTGGGTAGTTTCAAAAATCACCTGGGAGGGGACAGTGACCCCGTGCTCGCTGCTGCTGCTCTGGTTACCAACCGGCAGGTGCGTGTGCGCTGGTTACCAACCGGCAGGTGCGTGTGCGCTGGTTACCAACCGGCAGGTGCGTGTGCGCTGGTTACCAACCGGCAGGTGCGTGTGCGCTGGTTACCAACCGGCAGGTGCATGTGTTGGGGCTCCTGAGAAGCTCATCGCAGTGCGGAAGACAGTGGGGTCATGGCAGGTGCGCCTGCAGCCCTTTTGTGTACCAAGTGCGGTTCTCACTCCCTTCCCACAATCCCCCACACTCCCTGCGCTTCTCTCTTGCGTGCCCTCCCATGCAGGCGTTGGTGAGCAGGGTGGTGGACCCACATGACAGTGCGGTGGTGAGCGTGACGCAGATACATACCCGAACTCTACTGCTCTCCCCTACCTTTCCCCTTCCCCTTCTCCCAACACACCATAAAGGCGTTGGTGAGCAGGGTGGTGGATCCACACGACAGTGCCGTGGTGACCGTGACGCAAATACATACCCAAGCGAGATATGCTATTCCTCCCCCTCCCCCACACCCCCCACACCCCCCGACCCCCCACACCGTCCCCATGCTCTTATGTGCAGGCATTGGTGAGCAGGGTGGTGGATCCACATGACAGTGCGGTGGTGAGCGTGACGCAGATACACGCTGGGGACGCCTTCAACGTCATCCCTCCCTCCGTCAGTGCCTCTCTCCCTTCTCCCTTCCCCACGCCGCCCATGCTCATGCATACATGCATGCCTTCCTGCACTGAGTGCTGTGCTCCTATCATGCCAGTCACCTGTCCCCTGCATGAATCCTCACGAGTGATCTAGAATCTCATGAGAAATTCCAATGATCATGCCAGCCACCTGTTGCTAGCTAGCATGCATCTGTACCGCTTTCGCGCTCATCATAGATGAAGGTTGGCCACAAGTGTAGTGTCTGGCCAGCTGTGAAATCAAATTTGCCTGCCACTCTAAAAGCAACATAACCCGATGTTGCGCACACATCTCTCTGCCCCTCCGTTCCGGTCCTCTCCCCTCCTCTCGCCTCCGCTCCCCTCGTCCCATGGCGGCATGGCAGGCGGAGGTGAAGGGAACGCTGAGGACGTACCGGGGGGAGACGAGGGAGGCGATGATGCGAGGGATAGAGCGCATGGCGCATGGGGTCACTGCTGCTCATGGTGAGAGGGGCAGAGAGGAGAGAGCAGGGGAGGAAGAGAGGAGAGAACAAAGAGGGGTGAAGGGAAGGGGGTGACTTCAATCAGGCGACTGTGGGAGAATGTGTCCCTTCACGTCTTACCCTTCTCCTACCTCACCTTTCTCCTCCCCTTCGCAGGCTGCACAGCCACAGTGCGGTTCTGCGATCACTTCCCCGCCACCGTCAACACGCCCCGGGAGGCACAGGAGGCGGCAGCAGCGTCATCACGTGCCCCACCCTTGCTTCTCTCTCCACTCCTCTCCTAATCTCCTTGCCTTCCCCCTCCTCCCCATCCCAGGTTGCACGGCCACAGTGCGGTTCTGCGATCACTTCCCCGCCACCGTCAACACTCCCCGGGAGGCACAGGAAGCGGCAGCAGCGGCACGGGCAGTGGTGGGGGAGGCACTTGTGGACCTGGACTCGCGCGCGCCCTCCATGGGCGCTGAGGACTTTGGATACATATTGGAGCGAGTGCCCGGTGAGGGGAGGGCAGGGAGAGGAGAAGGGTTGGGGGGGCAGGGAGAGGAGAAGGGTTGGGGGGGCAGGTAGCATGGATGGGGCACAACACCGGCCAGGCCAGTACAGTGGTGGGAACAACACTGGTGGATCTGGACTCGCGCGCGCCCTCCATGGGTGCCGATGACTTTGGATACATTCTGGAGCGAGTGCCGGGTGAGGAGAGGGTGTGGGGGGAAGAGGTAGAGGGCAGGAGGGACCAGGGGCAGGGCTGTGATATGCAGCACCGGTGGATTTGGAGTCGCGCGCTCCCTGGGCGCCCTCCATGGTGACTGTGGACTTTGGATACATTCTGGAGAGAGTGGCGGGTGAGGTGAGGAGAAGCGGGGAGGAAATGTTGGGGGAGGGGGGAGGTGGAGGAAGAGGAGTGTGAGACGTCTCATGGCTCTCCTTCCATGGGCGCTGAGGATACATCCTCGAGAGAGTGCCGAGTGAGGAGAGTGTGGGGAGGCGCCAGGTTGGGGGGTGGAGGTGAGGCAGCATAGTTCTTGCTTGTACCAACTCTGGTCCTGGGTTACTGGTGTTGGTAACCCCTGTGCAATATGCACTATCCGAGAGTGCTGTCCCTCTCTTTCCCTCCTGTTTCCTGTCAGGCTGTTACCTCTGGATTGGCAACGGCCCCACGGAAGGAGGCTGCATGCTGCACAACCCCTTGTGAGTGGTCACAGGTGTTGCCTTGCGTGTGGTGGGAAATTGAACGCGAGCAATGTAGGCTGTTTGCTGGTAAAATCTCCACTCTAAATGAGCGAGTCTCTAATATTCGAGTGTGCTATGTTCTTGAACGTGCCTTTTTTGTTCTTGTATGTACTCAGTGTTGCCGTACCGTATTCAATCCCTTGCCATTCCTGTGGTTCCGCCGCGCAGGTACGATTTCAATGACGACATTCTTGCACTCGGAGCGAGCTACTGGGTACAGCTGGTTGTCAACGTCCTGCCGCCCAGACAATGATTCTAGAGATAAAATTGGATTATGTCCAGCAGGTGACATTTCTTTTTAGTGTATCAAATAGTGTTATCGTCATTATGGCTTGTGTGTCGTGGTTTCAGAACACGGGCCACTCAGAAACGCGTACACCGGGACTGATAAACAGTAACCAGTTTAAACCGATACGCATTCGGCCTCACCCAACCAAACCGGCTACTTGGTGCGTGCGATTGCGAGGGCGTGAGATGTATGTTCCGTACACGAGCCTCGTAACCTCGTCTCCCCGCAGAGAATCTACGTGACGTGACCTTCCCACGTTCGCGGGCCGCCATGGCCTCTCAGTTAGCCTGGCGGGCGGCTGCCACGTCAGCTCGTCGCGGCTTGAGAGAAGGCCAGCGTATCGTGGCTTCGATGACGTCATCTTCTCTTGTTCCTGCTGTGAGCGACGTCACTTCCGGATCTCCGCGTACCTCGAGAGTATCTGGACCGTCCGATCACATCGATCTGTCCCCGTTACAAACCGTTGATCAAACCCTTCAGTCCCCAACGCCATCAATCATGCTGACGTCATCCGTTCCGCTCCGCCATCCCCTTACCGGTTCCATCTCCACGCGCATCCCTTGCGCTGATGCGATCGGTGGCTTCAGGGCGCTCAGATTGCTGCCACGTGGCGCTGGTGAGGGCAATGACTGGTTACCTTGAACCCCCCTCCCCGCTCTGAGCCCCTCCCCGCTCTGAGCCCCTCCCCGCTCTGAGCCCCTCCCCGCTCTGAGCCCCTCCCCGCTCTGAGCCCCTCCCCGCTCTCAGCCCCTCCCCGTTCTCTGCGCCTCCCCGCTCTCAGCCGCTCCCCTCTCTCAGCGCGTTCACTACTCGCATTGTCGCACCGCGCGTCTTCTAAGCAGCCACTCTCCCTTCCCGACCCTCCCCATCTCCGCCAGTCTCCGCCCCTCCCCATCCCTCTCCGCGCCTCTCTTCTCATTCAACCATGACTCCCCCTCTCCGCCCTCTCCCTCCCTCCCGTTGCAGCGTCGTTCCACTCCGCCGCGCTCCCAGCCGCAGCAGCCGCTGACGCGGATCAAAACGCGGGCGGCGGTGGCGGCGGAACGGGGGGAGGCGGAGCGGAAGGGGGAGGCGGAGGAGAGGGGCGGAAGGAAGAGGACGGGGAGTGGCGGCAGTGGATTCAGCAAGCGCTCTCAAGTGAGTGCTGCTGACACGTGGCAGCGTCTCACAGGCTGAACTCATTGCATCGTCGCACTTTAGGCTCGAACTATTCCTGGTACTATTGCCAGCAGCTTCACTCTCTAGGCTATAGTAGACAGAAGGTCTAGGTTGATATTGCCAGGCACACCTGGTTGCAAGAATTTTTTTTCTTTGCTGGACCCTTGCCTTACCACGTGGCACTCACCAGGGCGTGTGGCTTACACGTGTGCTGCGTGTGTGCTGAACGTGTGTGTGTGTGCCTGGTTGGCCGGCAGAGGACGGTGAAGGGGGAGGCAAGGAGGGGCGCGAGCAGCAGGCACGCATGGCAGTAGGTGGGTGGGTGGTCCGTCACACAGCACCTCCCCTCTGCCTCTCGTTGTGTCGTCAGTCCATTTCACTTTGCCCATGCGCTCTTCTCTTCCCCTTGCCGCCGCGTCTCTCCGTGTATGAAGAAGTGTTTTGAGACGTCTCAAAGCACCTCCCCTCTGCCTCTGGTTGTGTCTCTCCGTCCATCTCTCCATGTCTTCCCCCCCGTCCCCATCCCCGTCCCTCCGTGCAGCCAAGCTGCAATCAACCGCGGCCCAGTCCCCCTCTTCCTCCCCTCCCCCCCGCCCTCCCCCCCAACGCTTCTCCGCTCGCTCTTCCGCTCCCCCTTCCTTCTCCTCCTCCCCCCCTTCATTCTCTTCCCAAGATTTCGACGAGTTAGAAGCGTTGATAGGGCCTGATGAGGAGGAAGAGGAGGAGGAGAGGAGCGGAGGGAGGAGAGGAGGGGAAGGGAGCAGGGGAGGGATGAGAGTGGGAGGGGACGGAGGGAGAGGAGGGGTAGGAGTAGAAGGGGAAGGGGAAGGGGGCCATGGAAGAGGCGGGCGCGCACGGGGATACGGAGGGCGGAGTGGGGAGCGGAGGAGCTGGGGAGAGGGGGAGGAGTGGGGGGGACGGGCAAGAGGAAGCGGGGAAGGGGCAAGGGGGAGGTATGGGGGAGGGGGAGAAGCGGGGGGGGGAGCCGGAGGGGTGGGCAGCTGGGGGGGCGGGGGCGGGGGGATGGGCGGGGGGATGGGCGGGGGGGCGTGGCAGGGGGTGGCGGAGGTAGAGGCGGAGATGGTTCTATCAGACCGTGCAATGAGAGCAGTGAGAGAGGTGGATCTGGAGGAGGGCGAGGCTACCTTCCAGTTCCGCCCCGACCGCACGTACTACCCTGGGCAGACCTACTCCGCTGAGGTGAGCACGTGAGCACGCTGGATGTACTCCACTCAGAGGGCATGCGAGCACCCCACAAGTGAGGCCAAAGTTCACAACGCACTACCAGGGGTTGGGGGAGGTAGAGGCGGAGATGGTGCTATCAGACCGGGCCATGCGGGTGGTGAGGGAGGTGTACCTGGGGGAGGGCGAAGCTACCTTCCAATTCCGCCTTGATGGCACGTACTACCCTGGGCAGACCTACTCCGCCGAGGTGGAGGGTCTGTTTGTAAGGCGCCTCAAACACTGAGCAGACGTACTCCGGTTAGGTAGGTGGGACAGGGGACATTGGGAAGCGGAGATGGTGCTATCAGACAGGGCCATGCGGGCGGTGAGGGAGGTGGATCTGGAGGAGGGCGAAACCACCTGCCAATTCCGCCCTGATTGCACCTACTACCTGGGACCGACGTACTCCGCTGAGGTGAGAACAGTGCGCTGAGAGGGCATTCAGGCATACTCTGAGGACTTAAGGCCCAGGTAGACTAGAGGTTCGGGGGTTGGATCTGCGGGTGCCTCAAAACTCAGAGGCTTGTAGTTCTGCTCCGATCGCACCCACTACCCCGCTCAGACTTACTCCGCTGACATGGCCAGCCGCTGACATGGGCAGACAGTGCAGTGCGGTGCTGGACGTATCCCAGCCTCTCCGTGAGGGCCCGGGGCACGCATGGCTGATGGCTGTATCAAGCATGCCATGTGCTCTGCTGCCTCTCTTGGTCGCCTCACTCTGTCGCCTCTCCCTATGCTGCTGTGCCGTGTATTTCTCTCTCGTGCCTGGCAGGAGCTGGACATATCCCAGCCCCTCCCTGACGGCCCGGGGGAAACGCTCGTTTCTTATGAGTGTATCCAGCTTGGCATGTGTTTTATGGTCTCTCTCTCTCCGCTCTCTGTTTCCCTCTTGTGGCTGGCAGGAGCTGGACATATCCCAGCCCCTTCTGGATGGCCCGGGGGGCATGCATTGCTTATGAGTGTTTTAAGCCTGGAATGTGCCTCATGGTCCCTCTCTGTTCTCTCTCTGCTCTTTCTCTCTCGTGCCTGGCAGGAGCTGGACATATCCCAGCCCCTTCCCGACGGCCCGGGGGAAACGCGGCGCAAGCTGCCCACCCCCACCACCAAGGAGGCCCTGCGCGCTGCTGACTTCCGGGTGAGATGGGGGGGGGGGGGGGGGAGGGAGTGGGTGATGGGGCACAGGAGGGAGTAGGCGAGGGGCACAGGGGAGAGTTAGGGGGGACTTGCACAGGGAGGGAGTGGGCGATGGGAACCCGAGCGGGGAGTGGGCAATGGGGGGAAGGAAGAAATGGGAGCGAAGTTGGATTGAAGGACATAAGGATGGGAACCAAGGCAGCATCTTTGCAGCAGACAGGGATATGGAGGAGGGAAATAGTTAGCAGGCAGGGTCAGTAGGTAGGTACATGTGCTTGCTGGCACTTCGAGAGGCTGCCCTGCCTGCAAATTGTTTCCGTCTTCCGTTACATTCTATGCCCCTCCCTGTCCTCCCCTCCAGAACGTGCGCTTCCTGTCACAATTCATCTCTGAAACCGGCAAGATTAAACCCAGAAACAAGGTGAGCTTACTCTCTCACTCCCCATGTGAGGTACGTACCAGAGTGCAATGCCCTACCAGTATGTGCTTCCTGCTTATCCTCCAAGAGGCCAGCCTGCTGCCTGTTTATCGTCCTCACTCTCACTCCTTGTGGCTGCTTTTCCTCCACACTATGCCAACAAGCGCACTCGCATCTGTTCCGCCTCCTCCACTCCTCATGCCATGCCGCCATCTTTCACTCTCCCTGGACTGCGTGCCGTACCATCCCTGCAGACTCGTCTGTCTGCCAAGGCGCAGCGTCGCGTGGCTCGGGAGATCCGAACCGCCCGGGTGTTTGGGCTCATGCCGTTCACGCAGGCAGGCCGGCCGCCGTTTAGGTTCGGCAAGGACCCGAACCTGGAGTCAGGGGAGCTGGAGCAGGAGGAACTTGAGCTGGCAGCTGCTGTGGAGGATGTGAAGGAGCTCAAGGCCATGGCCGGGAGATAGGTAGCTTGCTCAGGGCTAGTTGGAGGCTAGAGCTGGAGAGTGAGTGCTTTCATTAGGCACATCGGCGGATGGTTGTGATATAACTACTCTACCATAATATTTGCCCAGGTTAAAAATCATCAGCATATGGCCTTTTCAACTAAGCTAGTGGATACTTCAACACCAGGTGCTGTGAGTGGAAGATACATATTAAACGCCTAGCTACTCTGATTACCTACTTCCCTTTCACATCCTTGTGCATGGCCGTCCCAACATCATCAGTATCTGAGGTTGACACCTGAATGTTGCCCGTTGAGCCTCATCTTTGACATCTCATACGCCGCTGCATCCGCTGCACTGCTCCCGTAACTCCCCCCGTCGCCCGCCCCCCGTTGCACCACATTAGGCTGCAACCCACTCAATGGCAGATGCTGCTGCTCTGGCACCGACATGGCGGGCACTGCCCTGGAAGGCCATCTCATGCCTCCTGCAGCACCTGCTTCCGGCACGGAGGCAGCAGCGCCTGCTTCAAGCACAGAGGCATCGAAGGTGGCAAAGGTGCCGCCACGCGCTACGTGCTCTCGCACGCAGAGGATGCCCATTTGGAGGTACTCCCTCATTGTCTCGCTGATGCTGGATAGCCGCGCAAACACGTCAATCTGTGATGTGGGAGGGTGAAGAGGGGAGCACATGAGAGGGGGAGCGCATGAGGGGGAGCGCAGGAGAGGGGGGGCACATGAGAGGGGGAGCGCACGGAGGATGCCCATCTGCAGGTACTCCCTCATCGTCTCACTGATGCTGGACATCCGCGCAAACACGTCAATCTGCGGCATGGGATGTCGTATCAGGGGGAGCGCATGAGGGAGGGCCCATGAGGGGGAGCACTTGAGGGGGGGAGCCGAGGGAACGAGAGGGACAGGAGTTGATTGGACCAACGAGTTGGCCAGTAAATGCAGGGAGGGAGCTCAAGCATGGATAGGCATAGAAAACCACATGTTTGGAGGTCCGAGTCGTTGGAAGTGATTCGAAAAACAGTATTGTGGGCATCAGCAAGCACTCAAGGATGTGGGCTTACCCCAGGGTGAGACTGCATGTAGTAGTGCAGCTCGAAAAGGCTGACTGCCCCTTGCTTGCGATCCACTATCTTGCGCACTATGCTCTGCAACTCGTCCTGATCACATGCAGTGGAGACAAGGGGGAGAGTAGGAGTGACAGGGTGAGAGTGGGAGAGACAGGAGAAGAGTAGAATTGAGCAGGGGAGACAGGGGATGGAATGAGCGTCGTCTAGCAAGCAGAAACAGGGCTGAGCGGAACCAGCACACAGAGATTTCTTAATCCAAGTACAGCCCATCAGCTCGCATGACTTCACGCAGTCACAAAACCACCAAGGGCTCACCTGGTCAGGCAGCGAGGAGTCATCAGGCACTGCAGCGGCGTCCGCATCAGCGGCGGAGGAGCGTTCGAGCACCTGCTGGAGCACGAGGTCGACCTGCTGCAGAATGAACGGCTGCGGTGTCTCGTCGATGGGGATCAGCGACAGGTGCCCCTTGATGGCCGGCCCCTTGGCTGCCACCGCCTCCGCCAGAATCTTGCGGAACATGGATAGTGTGCGCTCATCCGTGGTCACTCTGGTGGGGAGATGAGAATAAGGGGGGAGAGGAGGAAGAGGGTTCTTGAGGCGCCTAAAAAGTCAGCTGCCACCGCCTTTGCCAAGTTGTAGCGGATTATGGACATCATGCGCTTGTCCATGGTCACTCTGGGGGGGCAGCGAGCGAGGGGAGGAGGGAAAGGGGGATATACCAGTAGAGAAGAGCGTAGTCAGGGGTGTGCACTGACAGCAGCAGCAAGAGCAGGTGGCTTGAGTGACGCTGTGAGCGTGGCATGGCACCTGGCTGCATTGTGCTCACATCACATCACATCACATCACATCACATCACATCACATCACATGGTGCTGGCAGGGCTGGCTGGCTCACCTCCTGCGGAGCTCGGCGTGGGAGAAGTCGCTGAAGTACTGGTGGATGCCAAACAGCAGGCGGTCAAAGTCCATGTCCGCCACGTACCCACTGAAGTTCTGCACCCACGGAGCAAAGGTGGTACGCATGAAGCGACGGAGGTATTGGTGGTTCATTCGGGCGATGTGTCCAGTATGAACGGGAAAATGTTTCTCAAAGAGAGATGGCAATGATGGAAGAAGGCGACAATTTCGGGCAGGATTGGATTCAAGCGGACATTCAGTATGGTACACCTTGCACATGCGCAGGAGGCACTTGACGATGAGTGCGGCGAGCGGCGTGCCATCGGGGCCCTTGACATCCGCAGCGGTGGAGCCCTTGATGGTGTAGGTGGGGCGCAGAATGGTCATGAAGGAGAGGAAGAGCGGCGTGGACGGCGCGGTGTCCAGGATCTTGAGCAGCAGGATGTTCACGGCGCGGCACAGGTCCGCGGACGAGTCGTCTGGGTTGCGCTGCTTGACGCGCTCGTGCAGCATGAAGATTGTCATGTCCTCCAGCAGCAGCCGTAGGTCGTCATCGGGGATCTGCATGCTCAACGACTTGGTCTCAAACAGCTGCATGGATGGGGTGTGGGGGGGTGGAGAGGGGTTAGAAGGCTCCTCCAGTGCTGCTTGACGCGCTCGTGCAGCATGAAGATTGTCATGTCCTTCAGCAGCAAGCGGAGATCGTTGTCAGGGATTTGCATGCTCAACGACTTGGTCTCAAAGAGCTGCATGAGGGGTAGAATCGTATGGAGAGGGGGGTGAGTGGGCCTTGGGGATGGGCGAGGCAGAACGGCATGCAGCTGCAGGAAGGCAGAAGAGGAGGCATCAGCAGGTGTCAGACGAGGAAGCGAGGGGATCCAGGAGGAGGGTGCTTGGAGGATGTAGTTTGGAAAAGGGAGTGCTTTGCATTCGCTGCAGGCCTGCTAATTTCAATGCACAGTTGAAGGTCAAACAGGGACGGCCAGGGTGGCAGGCTAGGGCAGGGCGTACCGTGAGCAGGGAGTTGAGGATGTACTTGTAGGTCTTGACCTGTGCGTCGGGAACAGAGCGCACAAAGAACTGCACAAACTGCGTAGTGCAGGTGAGTGGGGCAGAGGGGCATGGGGCAAAAGGGGAAGGCCAGATTTTGTATGCGTAACAAAACCGTTTTCCGATGCTTCAAAAGGTGCACACATAAGCATGCAAAGGAAAATTCTTTCGATAACACCTGCTACCAGAGCAACCAAGCACATCCATGACCGCCCTGTATCCATTGCCATACCTGGAAGCGCAGCATCTTGATGTAGCGCGGCATATGCTCGCGGAACACCGCGAGCACGCGGGGGTCCTCCTCCGTGATGCCCCTTCGCATCTCATGGAACAGGTACTTGAGCCCCTCCACCACCCTCTCCGGCGCCGCTTCTCGGTCAATGAACAGAATGGCCTCAAAGAACGACTCCGGCCCCGGGTGCGCTGACTGTGACGAGTGTGCATAGGCCTGGCTGTCTGTGGCGCGGTGGCGGGTCATGGCCGCCATGTGGTTTGGGGGAGTTACCATGGGCTCTGTTGCTCTGTGCGGCATGCCTGGGGGCATGCCTGGAACCATGCCTGCTCCATTGCCGTATGCGGGCTGCTGGTAGTGCATGGGCGCTGCTGCTAGTGGCTGGGCCGCTTCTGCCATGTGCATCCTCGTGGCCCTGGGAGTGAAACAAAGAACCAGGAAAAGCAACAACAGTTTCTTTAACCACACCAGAGAGCACGCAGCAGGTTGGACGAGGAGGACGACTGGATAGCAGCGACGAAGAGCAGCCAACAGTAACGACATGCTCAGAGGAAGAAGGTGAATGTAACAGGTGAAGGGGGCATAGCCTTACAAGGGCAGGGCTCCGATGGGTACTGGTGCCTCCATGCCTGCTGCCGCTCCTCCTGACATGCGCCTGCCCCTCTGCTGCCCCGGTGTTCCCTCCCTGCGCTTCTCCATCTCTCTCGCCTGCTCACACGTACGCAAAGGCAACGGGGTAGACGGCCACAATGGTGGGGGAGAAACGTTTGCACAGAAGGCTCGCTGGCATTCGAGCCACGGAGACAGAAGCAGGAAGCAAATTGCAAGTGAAATGTAGCGTTCTTTTAAGATAGATGCAGATGGCGTGGTGGAAGGCAGAAAGCAAGGGCCCTGAAGAAGAGGGAAAGGATTGAAGGAAGGAGTGAGGGAAGGAGGGAGAAAAGCATACCTTCCACTTGAGCTTGTCTTCAATGAGCCCTCTCTGTGCATCGGTGAGTTTCCCCAGCAGGCGCCAGATGTCATCTCCCAGCACCACATACACGGACGCCAGCATGCTCAGCGCCGCCTTGCGCAGCTCCGTGTCTCGCTCCGTTGTCAGCGCCGCCACCGTCACCAGCGGTACCCGCGAACTGCCCATCGTCTGCACACATGGTCGGCACATGAGGGAGCATGGGATCATGGGAGCATGGGAAGATTGGAGCATGGGAGCATGAAAACATTGGAGCATGGGAGAATGGGAGCATTGGAGCACGCAGGCATTGGAGCATGGGAGAACAGATGAGAGGGACAGGCGGGCGGGAACAAGCATCTCACCTCAATGCCATGCCTCTCCAGCATGGCTTCCATGTGCTCGACGCACTCAATGCGAGTGCGGTTGTTTTTGGAGCGCAGCCCCTCCACCACCGCCTGGAACACGCGCGTCGCCGGGAACACCAGCGGCAGCGACCGCATGAGCTCCCGCATCTTCTCCCGTATGTTGGCTATGTTGTGCCCCGACTGGTGGGACACGTGGTGGTGCAGGTGGTCGTGGTGGGGGAAAAAATGAGTACAAGCGGTAGACAGGGTAGTCAATTGACATGACATGCCCAAGGGCTGAAAATGCGTCCAGACTCTGAGAAGGCGAGGACTGAGAACTAAACCCTTGCACGAGGGGCCTGTGTGCTCAGCATGTGCGTACCTTTTCAACAAGGCAGGGAAGCAGGATTTTGGCCTCGTATTCGGTGAGGATGTAGCCCTCTATGGTGAGCACTTGCATGAGGTCCGTGAAAAACTTTTGGGACGTCTCACAAGGCATGTGCGTACCTTCTCAACAAGGCAGGGAAGCAGGATGTTGGCCTCGTACTCGGTGAGGATGTAGCCCTCTATGGTGAGCACTTGCACGAGGTCTGTGAGGAAGTCGAGGGCGCGCAGCAGCGACGTGGTGTTGGCCTCCGCTATGCGCAGCACAAACCAGCGCAGCAGCAGGTCCAACACCTCCATGAACTCGTGTGGCTGCTGCTCCATGGCCTGCCAGAGTGAGGGGAGGGAGCGAAGGAGAAAGGGAGAGGAGGGGAGCAGCTGTGAGTCGTTAAGGCACGAACTAGCGCAGCAGCAGATCCAGCACCTCGATGAACTCGTGCGGCTGCTGCTCCATGGCCTGATCAGTGCAGGGGAGAGGGGGAGAATGTGTGGTATGGAAGCAATGAGGGTACAGCCATGAAGAGGACAAGACATGAGACTGATGGGCACTGATGCCAGAAATGAGAGTTTCAGAATAGCCAAAAGGAGCAAGTGAGAGCCAGCATTATCCGATAAACTCATGATGACAGAGATCCGAGACAAGAAGGAGGGGGAGCAAGCGTGCCTTGTGGAAGGTGTCAATGACAGCAACATGCTGCTTGAAGTCCTTGCTGAACATGCGCTGCACCAGGTCCTCCCTGAATATCTTCGCCACGTCCGCCTGCACCACGCACACGCACACACACGCGGATGGGACACCATGCGATAATGACATGCAGTGCCAGAAGAAATGCATCTCACGGGCACGGCACAGGTATTCCTAGAGGGAGCATGACAAGCTGGACGAATTACTCGCTCTCTCCTTGCTTATACCACCGACTCACCTCCAGCTCTTGTAGCTGCTCTGGTCGGGGATCCTCGTACTTGACCTTGATGCCACGTGGCGACCGATCCCTCTCCTCCTGCACACACAGACAGCGAAAGAGGAAGAAAACCACCCTCAGTCAGTGCCCGTTCTTCAACATCCATACCAGTTCTGCAGATAACTACTTGTATGTTCCCCACATCAGAACTGGCATACATTCAAGTTAAATGTGCACGTGTCAGGACGTGGCAAGCCAGCGTACCTTGATGGACTCTCTGAGGTTAAAGAGCGGCTCATTCTGCAACGCTGCCTCCTGCAGTGCTGCCTGCATCTGCCGTGCTCCCAGCTTCGATGCCGACGCTGGTGACCGCCCCACCTGCCCCACACCCACAACGAGGGGAGGAGGACCACAGCCACAAAGACACGAGTAAGTGGCTGAAATGGGAAACGGTGACAGTGAAAGCTGGCATAGGGAACCAGCATGGCGAAGCGGAACAGACGCCACCTGAATGGCTGGTGACAGTGAAAGCTGGGACAGGTGTGCATTGGACAACGAACAATGGACATACTGGTGCGGGGAGGGCGGTTCGGCCCCCAGAACCAGGCGAGGGGGGCCTGGTGCCACGAGATGTGCCTTTGAGGGCCGGGCTGATGGTGGGCGCCTCCTCCTCGTCCTCCTCCATGCCGTCCGCACTCCCCGCTGACACCCGGTGCTTCTCCGATATCAGCAGCACGGGGGGCTGCGCTGCTGCTGGCAGGTCGTGCTTCGCTGCCTTGCTCACCTGACACACGAGAACACACACCCCAACAGAGCCACACAGCAAGCACAGACGAAGAGTATGATCAGGGGAGGGGAGTTTGGCCAAGAAAGAAGGTCGATTCCATATGGAAAGCTGCTATCAAGGCGTGGTGAGGCTGAGCAACCAAGTTACACTCACAGCGTCGCAGCCACAGGCCTTGACGAGCTCCGTGGTGAGGGCTTCAGCTGCCTTGCGGATCTCCTGGGACTTGTCCTGCAGCCCGGCAGCACACGCGCGCAGCAGCGTGATCGCGCTGCCGGGTTCGCTCTTGGAGAGCACCTGCTGCCGCAGCATCCACTCGTACAGCTCCTTGCGCCCGTCCGCTGCTATCTTCACGTCCACCATCGCCGGCGCCACCACTGGGATCTGAGCGCACAGCAGGCGTGGAAAGAACACAGACTCTTCAGCGCCGAATCTTACAGTGGACATGAGGGATGAGGGGGCCTTCCTACCTTCTTACAGTGGACATGAGGGATGAGGGGGGCCTTCCTACCTTCTTACAGTGGACATAAGCAAGTTTGAGAGAGGAAGGCGGCGGTGGTTGCATCGCGTACCATTTTGTCGGGGCCCATTGCTCCCAGCCAGGAGTCGAGGGTCTTGACGACTGCCTCCCTGGTCTGGCGCTTGGGGTCACTCAGACACTTGAGCACGTCTGATATGATGCCCTGCTAGTCACAGAAGGAAGCACAACAAGGATGGAGACAAGGATCAGGTTCACAAGAAATACATCTCAGAAGAACCGGGGCTGAGCTTTGGAAACAGCAGAGGCAGGTGGAGAAGCAGGGTGGTGACCTGATGAGCAGAGGGTAGGGGAGGAGCGAGTTACCCGGCTCTGCTTGTCGACTGGTGCGCCCATGGCGTCTGCAAGGTTGGCGATGGTGTTCATGGCGAGAATGATGAGGTTCTTGTTGCTGTCTGACAGCCGCGCCTTTAGCGCCCCAAACACCTCAACTGCACCACGTCACGCACGGCAAAGGCAGGAATTTAAGGCAGGAGTTAAAGGCAGGAGATGATTGATAGCAGGTGGGTATGCGTGATAGTGCAGGAGATGCGCCATGAAACGCTGAGCTGGTTACGGAAGGTGGGAGCAGGGTGGTGGCTGGCTGGGAGGCTGCACTCACATGTGCCTTCGGGAAGGATGCGGCGATTGGCCTCCTCCACGATGCCATTGACCGCGTCCATTGACTCCTGCCGCACCTGATAGCACAGGGTTGGGAAGAGGAATAGCATCGAGGATACAGAGATCAGACACAACCTAGTGGGCCAACTGTGAGACCACACAGCATCCCAGCGGTACTTAGAATCACAGAACTTATCTTCACCCAGGGGCATCTGCCAACCCATCTTTGTGTCAGGTGAGAGTGCAAGGGGTTCCAAGGCAGCATTCCTAGCTTCCAGTTGGAGTTGCCCAGGTTGGCGATGAATGTGGCCGTCAGCTTCGCACTGACGTGATCCTCTTTCAAGAAATCTCACCAGTGGCTTGGATACAGGCAGCAGGCTCACCTTCCAGTTGGAGTTGCCCAGGTTGGCGATGAGGGTAGCCGTGAGCTTCGCACTGATGTCCTCTCGAGGCAGCCCTGCCCCTCCACCTCCGCCTCCTACCACCTCCCCCTCTGCTGCTGCTGCCTCACCGACTGCCCCGCTTGACGGGCGCTTCACTGTTCTCGTTGGCGCTGCTGATGGCTGTCACAGGCAGGCCACGCAGTGCCAGTACGAGGGGAATAAGGTTAAGGTATCACAACGAACCAGGGAGAGCAGGGCGCGGGAGGGGGGGAAAGGGGGCCAGCTGCGATGAACGGTGGTGAGTTGGCACGAACAGGTAAGCGAGGAGACGGGAGCAGCAGGAGGCAGCTAAGGGCGGAGGCTGTACCTCGTGGGGGTTCTTCTCGAACTCTGTTTCTACTGAGATCATGAGGGCGGGCTTGAGATCCGACAGGAAGCCCTTCAGATCTGTAGGGGATGAGCAGACAGGGCAAACAGACACTCAGTGAGCGGCAGCAGGTAAGCTCTGTATGGAGCATGATGAATGCTGGTCACATGTTCCGCGACTCCCTGCAACGAGTTGGAGTGAGGGGAGCAGCTCACCTGGCCCCACGTATTTGTGCATGGCGCCCAGCAGCTTGGTGGCAGCACTCCGGCACGGCGCATTGCTGGAGCCCAGCCCCACGTTCTTCACAAACTCCAACAGCTCCTGCCCAGAGAGAGAGAAAGCACCACAGAGCAATCGCAATCAGATCAACTTCAACACACTCATACGCCACAACTTAGAACACTCAGTGGTAAGCAAGCATGGCAACACAGCCACCAAAGGATTCAGTTACCCACCTTGAGGTTGAGCTGGGCGGTGCCGAAGTCGTCGACAGCTGTGACCATCCATGTGATGCTCTCCGCCAGCACCTTGGGGTTCTTGTGCGCACTCACTATTGGGATGCTCTGCAGTGGAAATAAGGAACACTCAATGTGTTAGCCGCGTAGAAAGTTGTCTCTTGAGTCAACTCTAAGATCACCTCGTCACAATGGCACCCTATGGGGATGCTCAGCAACTGCATGAGAACTCGATGCGCGATGCACATGATTGCAGTGAGCACGATGCTGGGCTGTGCATTAAGGTTTGTGTGTGAGTGAGGGTTCGCAGAGGAAAAGCGGTCTCACTCTGGTGAAGATGAACTGAGGGCCCACGCATTCTGCAAGCGTGGTGAGACACGCAGTGGCCTGGATGCGTGTCTTGATGTCTCCAACCCTCTCAATAAGACCTGGTGCAAGGTGCGCACACATGCATGCAACAGAGTAAGACGCAACACGAAGCTGCCTCTCTAAGCCTTTAACCATGTGAAAGGGAAACGCAGCAGGGAGGCTATGCAGCTGAGAAACAGCAGTGGAGCCTGGCATTCGGGGAAAGTTCCTTCCTAGAGGGCCATACCTTCGATGCAGAGCACAACACACTTCTTGGGGAACCTGTCCACCTTGTCAGCCAGGGCTGACACACACTCCAGCATCTTCTGCAACACCTGTTGCCATCGCCACCACACACAGAGCACATCCCCAGAGTCAGCAACTTGGGTGGGAGCTGAAGAGCGAATCAGGCGCCAGACAACACAAGGTTGGTGTTTAACTGTAGAACGTTTTGAGGCTGACAGTTACCTGGACATTCTTGTCGGACCAGCCAGGGGTGGTGGAGATGAGGCGCACTATGGTCTCAACGTTGGCCTGCGCGTCTGCCATGCTGGGAACCATCTCCTTGATGCTCGTCATCGCTGCCCACCCACACGTGCCCCACACACAGGTTGGTATACAGACACAGCCGACTCATGAGTAAAAGATGAACCTCATGACCCAATGAACATTGTTACAGCCATAACCAGAAAGACAAAACGGCAACGAGGAGGCTAGCAGCCGGAAAGGTTGCGTTGTGTGCAGCTGTGGATGTTAGCAGGGAGGTGGCGGCTCACCCTCGAGGCGCTCCTTCCAGGCGGAGCTCTTGAGGTTGTCCACCATCTCTGGCGGCAGCACTGCCTTGGCTCTCTCCTCCACTGTCTCCGGGCTCCACGGCTCCGGCTGCACCCACAAGGGAGAGAAGGAGAGGCAGAGAGGCATGCGCTTCAGACAGGAAGCGCTTGCTGATTGCATAGGGCAACAGCGCGAGTGGGTTGTAAGGCATGCATGGGCCCATGCGATGACATGAGGAGGGTACAGCTGTGCAATGAGCATGATGGACAACTCACCTCAATCTCCTCTGGTGGGGCAGCTGCCTGAGCCGGCTTCTTAGCATCGTTGCCTGCCTTCTTGCCACCAGCAGCCGAGCTGCCTGTCTCCACCTTGGCGCCTGTGGCTGACTGCAAAAGGGAAGAGAGAGGACCGCACACACATGCGAGCAGCACAGCGAGGCCCAACAGGGTCAGGAGCAGCACAGCAAGGCGCCACCCAGAGGAGGCGCCCAAAGCACATTTACGCATGACACTTCATTCATGGCAGTGGATAACGAGGGACAGCAGCATACGGCACAGTGAGGCATAGGTATGCATGACAGTTCTCCCAAGAGGGCGAGGGCCGGGCAGGTTGCGTCCATACCGGGCGAGCTCCGGCTTTGCCACTGAGCAAGCTGGCTGCAGACGCCTTGGCGGGAGGAGGTGCCCTGGACGCCGCCTGGCTGCCACCAGAGGTCCTGCTGGCCGTGGCTGCACACATTGACGTGGACGGAGGGACACAGGCCAGTGAGGGGGGGGGGATGGGAGGAGGGGAAGGGCGTGGAGATGAGGGAAAGACTTTGGTTTATGTGGTGTGTGTGCATAAGCGAGGAGTGGGCATGGAATGCGGGGGCAGGGAGGTGCAGCAGGGAAGGCAGCTGACCTTGAGGTGGGGCGTCGAGAGTGACGCCAGCACTGGCAATGACGTCAATGAGCTTCTTCTTGCGCACCTCATCCACCGACTCCAGGTGCCTCTCCAACGGCTTCATCCCCACACACTGCACCCACCGGCAGCAAAGGCAGGAAGCAATATGTCCGAGTCACGCCACACCAGAGGGTACATCAGGAAACTTCCAGGCCAATATGGCAAGACAAGCGCACCACAACACAGGGAAGAGAGGGCTGGAAAGAGCACAGTACCTTGGCAACGTTCGCAAGGGCGTTGAAGCCGGCCTCCCGAACATCCACAGTCCCATCTTGCAGGCTCTGCACGTTTTAGCCAGGGTCAAGGGGCAAGGATTGGTTGGTGAGTGCACGTACGATACCACTGAGCCAGCAAAGGTCCACACAAGGATGCAGTGAGCGCGGTAGAGTGTTACACGTGCCTAACCTACCTCGACGAGCATGGGGATGAGCTCCTTGTGCACCGCCATGACTTGCGGCCGCTTGCTGGCCTCGATGCACACTGCCACCCACCCCAGCACCTCCGAGCGGACCTGCGGCACCTTGTGCTTCGCGGCCGTAGTGATGTCTGATCGGGAGAACATGTAAACATGAGGGTTTATTGACATGGGTATGACAAGGAAAGTTTTTTCTCCTATATAGTTGCGGATGCTGACATGGATACAGAGGTCAATAGGGGCATGCATATGGAAAGAGCAATACGTGTGGTGAGTCACCAGCACCTGATTCCATACGGGCTGCAAGATGAGAGGGAGTGGAAGAGCCTTAGCTTACCCTCGAGAGCGTCCGTCAGCGCCAAGCACCCTGAGACGTAGAACGCCTTGAGCGTGTCTCGAATGGCCTGCACCACCGTCGGCTTCTTCTCCTTGTACCTCTCCTGAACAACACACAAACAGTGCACTGGCGTGAGACAAGCCAAGCAAGGCCGAAATCTAATCAATGAGGGGAGAAATGTCCCTCATCATCCAGAGGGAGCGTGAGAGAGCCACGTACCAATAGGGCTGGCAGCATGAGTCGTGCTCCAGATGAGAAGTCCTTCCGTAAACCCTTGGCCAGGTTGCCAGCTGCCTGAATGGCCTCCGTGGCGACTGCAATGTTCACATCTGTGGTCAGCTGCACAACGGGAACAGGACGTACACAACAGGAAAGTCCTACGTGTCAGCAAAGTAGTGGCAGGAAGAAGTCTCTACTGGCACGAATCAAGTAGTAGAAGTCAGCACAAACAATACCTTTTTCAAGCTTCGTTGAATGTCCAGAAAGTCTCCTGGTGCGATGCGTATGGTGCTCGCCAGTTTGGTCAGCTCTGCTATGGCATCGCGCCTCTCTGACCACTTGGTAGCTTTCTGAGAAACGCACACAGGGACAAGATGAGGACTCGGCGCAAATTGCAGATAAGCACAAAGCAGTCATATCCAAGCGTGCACGAGCCAGTAGTGAGACACTAAGTCAGCTAGAATGGAGGAGGCCGCTTACAATGCCGTCATAGAAGGTCGTTTTGGATAGTGGCGTCAAGATGTCTACAGGGTCCGCCAGGTCGTAGTCGTCAATCACAGGAGGAGCTGCAGCCGCACACAGGAGCACGCATTGAGAAAATGAGCACAGAGGTACGAAGACCGCCTGAGGACGCGATTGTGTTTCAGTTAACTGTTCAAAAACGCTGTAATCCCTTACCCTCAGGCTCTGCGGCCTTGGAGTCGTCTGCTGGGGCATCCAGCACCTCGGGCTCCTCAATCTCCTTCATCTGCTCTGAACGGATCCTCCTTGTCGGAACAGCACGCCCTTCGACACGCTCGAACTCAGCCTCGAGCTCCGCTTTCTGCGTGGAGCAAGCAGGGCAATTGTAGTCAATATGAGCTGTTCACTAAGAACTGAAACGGCTATGGGATCCGCAATCCCTGATGTATCCAGCGCTTACTCACCGTGGCGTCACGGAGCCCTTCAAAAAGCAAGCGCTTGACGGTGTCCTTCCCCAGCCAGCGACAGAGCTCGACAGTGAGCCCCTTGGTGCACTGCCGCACCCCCTGGTCCGCGTGGTTGAACAAGCCAGGAAGCATCTTGAACATGCGCTTCGGAGGAACCACGCCTGTTCCAAATTGGCTGCACAACAATGAAGAAAAACCACGTCAGACGACATATAATGTTAAAACGCGTCGTCAAGGACAACAATTCCGACATGAGCGAAGCGGTTATGAGAGTCACAACCGACGAGAATGCTGAATTCACCTTAGCGCTTGGTACATGGCGTCGATGGCTGGCACTACGGCCTTCGCCACTTTGTGCTTCACCGCTTTCTCCATGCAGTCCTGCACGCGGTCGCCAGGTGCAGATTAGTTTGAGTTGCATGGTGAAGCTGACCGTGAATCGACAGCAACAAGTACATTCTGCTCACCAGGAAAACCTCGACGGCCTCGAGCTCGACCCAAAGAAGGAACGAGGTCTGAGCCCTCTCGACTGTCTTAGGTCGACCCGTGAGGCACTTCGTAGCCGTAGCATCGCAGATTTCCTTGGCGAACCTAATCCATGAGAAAAGAAGTGCGTCAGGCGAGACTTATTTCGAGGCTTCACTACAAGCATTGTCGCAGATTCTCACCTCGCAACATCGGCATCTGCTGCCAACTGAAAGGCTATCAATGCATCTAAAGCCTTTTCTTGTGCAGGCGCGTTCGCATCAGACACTGCTTTCTTCAGCAAATGACCTGAAACGTGACGGACAATGAATAAGACCTCGTTCGGCAGCTTTACAGTCGAAATCGATACGTGAACGGATGCTAATACGAACCGTATTCTTTAAGCTTGGGGTCTTTCGGATCCTTAATCTTGTTGCAAGAATCTGCGATATCCAAATACACCTCGTTCCTAACCTTCCAGTTCTTATGAGCTATCCTATCTTCTAAAGGGAGCTTCTTCGCCTCCTGCAAAACCTTCTCTTCTTCTGAAGCCATGGTTCGTCTAGAAACAACACGGTTCTACGCACAAACAATATTTGACAGTATAGTAACTCGGTCACGACGCCTAAGACTTGCGAACTAGGTCAGAGAAGCGTAGCTGTTCTCAATTAGGAGGCTCTGGCTAAAAAGACTAACAGCAGGATACTCCCTAGATGTGAGTGACACTGAACTGACAACAGCTGCTTGAAATCTGTTTTGTTAGTGTTAGCCGAAGCGAGTCAGGGGGACAGGTGGTGCAAAGCAAACCATCGATGCTGTCCAGAAAATTCACGCTATGGCCCGTCATGATCGAGGTCAGGTGCCAATAACGAGTGAAAGTGTTTCTTTCAGTTCAAGCGACTCGTGATTGGTGTAGTCTTTTTCTCGGTGACCTCCTCCCGCCACCCGAAGTCAGAAGGTTGGGTCGCGTGTCAGAGAGCGCTGCGTCACTTAAGGAACACAAAGTGTAATAAGGCGTAAATGGAACACAGTTCGCTCGCATTCGTAAAATAATGCAATACCATCCATCGCTCGCATACATAGAATTATGAAATCCATGATTAACTAATGATGTGTGTGCTTGTGAAAACATAATCATTTAATAGTACTGAACCTATGAATGTGCTGTACAACGGCTTATGAAGTGATTAATGAGCAATGCCACATCAGCACGACAAACTCGAAGCGGCAGCCCACTCCCGCCAAACATGTCTCACACAATGCTCACGAAACCCGATTTGTACACAAATTGGCATGCATGAGGCCAGCGAAACAGCTTTTCTCCACGCTCGTGCAGCCTTTTCGCACAGAAAATTCTGCTGGTTGCACGATGGTCAAACCAGCCCCATGTGGCGCCAGCGAAACATTTGCACGTGATTCGTTTCGTCGGCCGCGTCGCTTGACTTTTGTGGACGTGCCAATTGCGATGCTTTTGGCGATGCTCATCGCAAAGCATACTCACGCACATGATTGTGCATATAGTTGCTTGATCACCCTTCCTCTCCCCATTGCGAACGAGCAGGCCGTTATATAGATTCAGTCTTTGCATGTGATGTGACTGCGGTTGCGTGCTTTCATGCGCCTATTCTAGAAGGCCCGATCTAAGGCGAGCCTTGGCTGTAGCGTTCTCGCACCCCTCATCTCGTTTACAGCTATCGAAATAATGGCTTCGCGGCTACGCCTCAGCTGGACTCTTGCCATTGTGTTGCTCGTCGCGGTTGTGGGATTTCCTGCATCAGTGATGGGATACGACACGTCGTTTGACCGATACTTTCAGTTCGCGCCGTATTGCAAAGGGCAGTACTACTGCGAGCGCAAGGGCGATGGAACCGTCGCGATTTCCGCCCACTGGAACAAAGTCGGAGGTACATTTGGTGCTTTTTATCTAACCTTAGTGTGCGTGTGAATTTGCGTTAAGTGGTAGATCCCCCCGTTCCCATGCCGTATGATCGTCATGCCTGTTGTTTCTTGTCGCATTTGCATAAAATGTCTACTGATTTTTGCATATCGTTGCTGTTGATGTCTTTGCGCGCCAGCCTTTGCCTCGTACGGAATGTACCAGTACGGCATATTCAGCGTGAAGATGAAGATGCCGGCCGGCTACTCCGGCGGCATCATTCCGTGCTTCTACCTCATCTCGGGTGGTAGCCCGGGTTACAAGGACATTCACGACGAGATCGACTTCGAGATCCTGGGCGCGGAGAACCCGCGCGATATGATCATCCACACCAACCTCATCACGGGCGGCCAGACCAACCTCGAGCAGGTGCGTTGCGAGTTCCAAACGAGCAGACGAGTCCTGTTTTTCGATGTGATTTCTCATGATGACGGTTTTTTGCAGCACGCTCTTCCGCATCCTTCAGGGAAATAGGTTCACCTTTCGTGCTCGCATTGCCTCCTTAACCCTAACGCCTCCATGTCCTCCTGCCCTGATTCTCTTCTCCCCTTTTCTCCGCAGTTCCGCTTCCCGTTCGACCCGTCGGCGGACTTCCACACGTACACGATCATCTACTCGCCGCGCTTCATCGTGTGGCGGATCGACAACACGCCCATCCGCGTCACCCTCAAGACCCCCGGCAGACCCTTCCCCTCCGAGCCCGTTCAAGTCAAGGTAAGTCCCTTTCCCGAGCAGCAAACTCTCTGTCTCAAACCACCAGCAGAATAAGCCGTGACTACCAGAAAAGGCTATCACTAACAAGAATAGTACTCTTCCCGTCACACTTTCCTCAACTTCCCCTCCGCCTCCACATGGCGAATCCGGGTCTAAACAGCTATTCTTATGCTGTCTTCTGAACCCCTCTACCCAAGCAGGCATCCATCTGGGACGCGTCGAGCTGGAGTCCATTGAAGCCCGACTGGAACAAGGGCAAGGTGACGGCCGAATTCAAGAATTTCGACCTGAGCATGGCATGCGCCGTTCCGCCCACGGGCAAGCGCCCCGCATGCGCGGATGAGACGAACAGGCAGAAGGCGCCGTGGCTGTACAACCTTGGGCCCAGGCAGGTTCAGAATTTCAAGAAGTTCAGGAGGAGTTATGTGAAGGCTTCGTATGGCTGGGAGGTGATTCAGTAAGGCGTGGGGAAGGAAATAAAAGAGGGATTGCTGACTGATGCATCAAACAGAGCAGTCCATAACCAAGTTCAATAGATTTCCCTAGGACGTCGTTTGGTGATAATATCTGGGATGTGGTCCCAGTGCTGATTCTCTAATAATAGAGTATTGCTTGCTATGCTTGCTATTCACTTTGGCATAGCTGAACTCCAGAAACATCTGAGCACTACATAGCCATCATGCACAGCCATCAATGCTTTACATGGACTGTGCATGATGGCTAGTGGCTGGCACACTTCCAGGAAACAGCCATGAACGGCTGCATTACTCTTTCTCATGCCTTCCCTTCAGATGCTAATGCCCACCCAGAATGTACTGACACAAAGTAGCAATTCCATCCAAGTTAGCTTCCTGTAAAGCATCTTGTAATTGCAATCAGACATGAGCAGCACTGAAAGTGCACACTTCTTATGATGTTCCAACTTTTACTGGTGCCCAAACTTTGAAACATGGCTAGCTAGATTCTCAAGATAGATGCTCTGCTTCTAGTGGATACTGTGAGGGACACAATGAGAAGGCAATCCTATAGGTACATATCCGGCTTCTGTGAAGCACATTAAATGTTTGAATGGTGTTTCCTATCTCAAAGCACCATCTTACAGTGTGCCATTCTCTAAATTTGCGCTCTTGAGAGGCATATTAACGGACGATCAATAGAACCTCTCGAAGGTGTACCAAAGAGAACCCCAATTTTGTACGCCATATGAACCAGTTGGAGCTTGCCGGAGTTGATTTTCCATACACAGTGCGGAAATGTATCGAGCCAGAACCACATCCGACCCGATCTACAAGCAGACTGATCCTGATGTCATGCACTTCACGTGACGGGGATTGATAAACAAGCCCTTCTCGTGGCTCGAACCTCCTGATTGATCCTTGCCACGTCACAAACTGCTTCTGCTTGAGATTCGTCACGAGCTTTCAGAGCTAGAGATTCCATCCGTGATATCTAGATCAGAGCTTTAATGTAAAACCGATTCAAACCGGACCGAACAGAGCACGGACTATGCATCGCTTTTTTGCTGCCAAATCTCGCCCCCAGAACCAGACCAGACCAGACCATTGATGTTTTCCCGGGACGCCAATTTGGATCTCCCTCCCCCGATTCTTGAATGTGCTGACTCACCTCAGCTCATCAATCAAATCGAGAATCGTGCTCGCGCGCGCGGCATTTTTCGAGCTTCCGCGCGCCCCTTCCTTGCCTCCCCTGCTTCGCTCCCCCCATTTCCTCCTTCTTTCCCCCCATTCCGCCCATCCCTTCCGCCCCCTCCACCTTGCACCCTGCCTTCCCCCTCCACCCCGCCCGTTGGCCACTGCAAGAGTCAGCAGCAGATGCCGCTGCAAAGCTCGTCGTTTCCTCCCCAATGTGTGGCGCGGGGAGGAGGGAGAGCTGAAATCGTGAGATGTGGAATTCAGAAACAAATCCGCAGAACCACGAGATTCGAATCACAAGATTAGTTCAGCAGCGCTGCTGCTGCTGCATTCATTTTGCCCAGCGCTGCTGAGAGCGGGGATTGCTGTGATATCTATCCATCACCGCGCGGACTGCTCCCTAAACGCTACGCACTGCTCTCGGCGATATGCTTCAGCCGCCTGAACGTAGATCGTCGCGGGATCGATTCACCCAAGGGAAAATCAGAGCGAGGCATCAGTCTTTGAATCACGGAAATCCGACCCAGCGACATTTAGTACGGGCCCACAAGGGACCTTACAACATAAGAGCAGAAATGATTCAGCGGTCCGCCATGGTTCGATTGATAACTCTACTCCCCGCGCGATTACGTCAGTTACACGACTGCTCAAGTCTACGAGAAAAGCCCTTGTATCTGACACTCACGTCTGCACCGACGTTCCGCAGTTCCACTATCTTTTCTCGTCCCGAAATAAGTTTTACCTGTCTTTCCGTGTGTATTTCTAAAGCAACGCTTTGGCCGTGGCTGTTGGTAGTCCTTCATTCCCACGCCCATCTAGCTCGTCCTAGTATTATCCAAGTCGATGAGTCCCAGACCTAGTCCCGACAGCGACCCGCCGCAGCCGCGAACGGGCCTGACGTCTCCAATCACATCCGCGTTCGCCGGCGGATCGAACGCGAGCGCCGATGCATCTTTCTACGCCACTTCTGGTAGTGCTGCTGCCGCCAATCTGTCTTGGAGCGCTCCCAGGCGCGCCGATAGGGTGGGGAAAGGCGCCAAAGGCGGGCCGGAGAACGCGCTGCACGGCTTTCGCGGAGTGCGGCAGCGCAGTTGGGGGAAGTGGGTGGCGGAGATCCGCGCGCCGCGCAGCAAGAAGCGCATCTGGCTGGGATCGTTTGCAGACGCGCGGACTGCTGCGCTGACGTACGACCGCGCAGCGCGGAAGTTGTACGGGCCGCGCGCGCAGCTCAACTTCTTCGACGGGGCGGCAGTTTCGGCGCCCGCCAGCAGCCACCCTCACGGCGCAAGCTTGCGCGCCGCCGACGCCCGCAGCGGCTTGATCAGCAGCGGAAGCGGCAGCGGCGGGAGTGCCGCGAGCGACAGCGAAGGCGGCGCTTTTGCAGGCGTGATTAACGGCGGCGTTGGAGGCGGAGAGAGAACGAGCCGCTCCGTCGAAACGCCTGCGCATGTACCGCGCTGCGCGTCGAGCGACGACGCGACGCCTCTGTCACTGGCGAGGTTCGCGTTCACCGGCGGCGCGCCGTTTCTAACGCGAGACTCCAACCCAGCGGAGAGCACCGTTAGTGCAGCCATGGCGGCGGCCTCCCGAACCGCGTCGCTCAACGCAGAAACTCTCGCTGCAGCGCGATGTGACTACATCGATGCCCTGCCACTGCCCAGCATGACCTTCCAAGAAATCTTTAACCGCTCGTGTCCGCCGCTCACCGCGCCCGCCGCGGCGTCTACCTCGGTATCCGCGCTCGGCGCGCGCGCCCCGTCAGCGGAGAAGCGCGGCATGTGGCAGGGGCCGGTTGAGTCGTTCCGCGCGCCCGCGGCGAGCAGCGCGGGGCGCGTCGACCCGTCGGCGGAGAGCGGGCAACTGAAGCGCGGGGAGCAGCAGCAGGCTGAGGAGTCTATGGCTGGCTCCGGTTTTGAGTCGACTCAGAAGGAGGCCGCGGCGTGCTCTGGCTGGAGTCATGGCGGTGGCATTGCTACGCACAGCATTGTGAATTGGAATCGGAACAACCAGGATCGTGACTTGAGTCAGGGAGTTTCCGCTGGCCTGGGAAGCGAGGGGGCGAGCATGCGTTTTCCTCCGTGCCCCGCTGTTTTGCCCGCCCAGCTGAGTCAGCAACCCGCTTTGACGGTGCGTGGGGGGCTTGTTCCGTACGGCAGCATTTTTGCAAGCCCCCCGGTCATGTCAGTGGGCGGCATGCACACACCTGGCATGGCAGTGCCGTGGGGGTGTGGCGGAGCAGTCTCGTGGGTGCATGAGAGAACGATGGTGCAGCAAGGGGCGATGGCTCAAGAGGGAGTGATGGCGCAGGATGGAGCGATAGTGCAGGCGCTGAGGGAGAGCAGAGCGCAGCTGATTCGGGAGCAGATGGGCGGCAGTGGTGGCGCCGTGTCTGCTGGGAACGCTTGGATTGCTAGCAATGCTTGGACTGCTGGCAGTGCTGGTGCTGGGGTGCAGGAGGGGGCGATGGTGCAGGCGCTGAGGGAGAGCAGGGCGCAGCTGGTGCGGGAACAGATGGGCAGCATTGGTAGCGCTGTGTCTGCTGGGAACGTTTGGGCTGCTGAGACTGGTGGTGCTGAGACTGATAGCGCTGTGACTGCTGGGGCTGCTGGGTGTGCTGGTGCAGGGGTGTGGAGTGGTAGGTGCACGGATGGGGCAGATGCAGTGCAGGGTGGGGGAGCAGGCATGGAGCATGGTGAGCTGGACGCAGCAGCCATAGAGCGCATGCTGCAGCTCTCAGAAGACCTGCTCGGCCCAGAGGACCCCCCTCCTCATGGCCAACACATCCCCCTTGGACACAGGGACCCTCCCCCTCATGGTGCCAATGCCCCTCATGGCCGTGTGGTCACTCACGCCTCTGATGCGGCTGCATTGGAGGAAACCAGTGCGGTGCTGGCATACGGTGATTACCAGTGTCTGGCCACCGGACTGCCTCATGCCATGCCGAGCTCCAAGCCTACTGCCGTGCCCCACTCGTGCTCCCTGCATGTCTCTCTGCCTGGCTCTGTGCCGCACGCTGCTGCTGCTGTTGCTGCTTGTGAGCCTGTGTGCGGCCTTGCTGACCTGGTAACACCTGTGTCCCCCTCCCCCTTGTGCATGGGAGGGGAGCTAACAGTGCCTGGCAGCCATTGCATGCTGCCACCTGCAGTGCACATGGCACCATGTGAGCCGGCATCGAGTGCTGTCAATGCTCTCACCATTGACGTTGCCCAGGAAGACCAGCCGCCGTGTTTTGAGGAACTGCTGTCCCCCATGTCTAGGCTCTGGTAGTGGTGTGTTGGGTGGCAGGCTGTGAGATACGTCCTCCTGTATATATTACTGTATGCCAGTGATTACCTTATGCCATTGATTACGTTTATACTACTTGTTGCAGGTTCTCTATGAATATTTGCCCCACCCAGTGATTGAATGGCTAGTGAGGAATGGGATCGGGAAAGAAATAACATGTTAGCCTGCAATGGTAACGTACTGCATGCCGTAATACTAGTACCAGTATGATATAAATATTATAATTTTTAAACACACATGTAGTGTTTTTTAAAATTGTGTATTGTGAAAGCGAAGCTGCTTGTACTGCACAATTGGCATCGTCGAAGCGCGCTAAACGCCCTTCTCCAACTACAAAAAAAAAAAAAAAAAAAAAAAAAAAAAACCGTGGGTTGGAGCTCATTTCCCTCCACCCACGTTTCTCAATTTTCAAACGGCTCACTCAACATTCCCACCACCCACCCCAGTGTAAACCGCCTTGCTAATGCCACTTGGATAGGGTACATAATAGCTAGTGTTATTAGTCCGCACTAGCTTATGTCGAACGATGATGCAAATGTTGTAATACGCCATTTGTAATGAGAACGATGCCAATTGATAAGAAAGAAAGCAAGCTTTCTCAATATGCAATTGTACAAAGTACTGGTTGGGTAGCTGGCTGAAAATCGGGTCGTACACAGCACATAGAATATTCCCCAAACAGACCAGCCAGGCCAAATCGCAAAACCTGACATCTGATCCAAGGAATTGCCAGCACTGATTTATCATGCAATGCGGTGGCAGCCATGCTTGCCTTGCCACATCCCTCCACAGTTCCTCTTCTCATCGAGCTCCATTTCCATCCAGTGCAGCCGTTCTGTAGATGGCATGCTGGCATGCCACACCATGCCATGTCACACAATTCTATCCATGCCACACCATGCCATGCCACACCATGCCATGTCACACCATTCCATCCATGCCACACCATGCCATGTCACACCATTCCATGCCACATCATGCCATGCCACAGCAGCAGCAGTCTCGTGGGTGCAGGAGAGAACGATGGTGCAGCAGGGGGCGATGACACTGGATAGAGTGATGGTGCAGGCACTGAGGGAGAGCAGGGCGCAACTGGTGCGCGAGCAGATGGGCAGCAATGGGAGTGCTGTGACTGCTGGGAACGCTTGGGCTGCTGGCACTGCTGAGATTGCTGGTGCCGGGGTGCCAGAGAGAACAGTGGAGCAGCAGGGGGCGATGGTGCAGGCACTGAGGGAGAGCAGGGTGCAGCTGGTGCGGGAGCAGATGGGTGTCAGTGTTGGTGTCACTGCAGTCACTCATGGGAACGCTTGGGCTGCTGGGACTGCAGGGACTGTTGGGAAAGCTGGAGCAGGGGTGTGGAGTGGTAGGTGCACGGATGAGGCAGATGCAGTGCAAGCAGGAGGAACAGGCATGCAGGAGGAGCAGGCATGCAGGAGGAGCAGGAATGCAGGAGGAGCAGGCATGGAGCATGGTGTGCAGGACGCAGCAGCCATAGAGCGCATGGTGTGCAGGACGCAGCAGCCACAGAGCGCATGGTGTGCAGGACGCAGCAGCCATAGAGCGCATGGTGTGCAGGACGCAGCAGCCATAGAGCGCATGGTGTGCAGGAAGCAGCAGCCATAGAGCGCATGGTGTGTTGGATGCAGCAGCATGGTGGTGTGCAGGATGTAGCAGCCAGTGAAACCACTGCTTTCACGAGCAAGACAAGTTCAAAGAGTGCCAGCCAATCAGGTATCATAGAACAACCTACAAATATCAATGAAACCTCTCTTGGCCATCAGGACTGTTGCCCCGATGTTCACCCGAACACCACGATGAGGTGGAGGTTCGACGTTCGGGAAAAAATGTTTTATGTTAATGCTCAATGTATGATGCGAATGCTCAATGCACAATGTCCACCCCGTACCTGGACCACAGCAATGGCCATTGTCACCAACAACCATGAGGGTCCCACCTTGCCAGCACAAGGAGGAGCATCCAGAACACTCCCTTTTGGAAACAACACGTCTCGAGTGGTTGCTTTTTGAGGTGCAAACAGAGGAAGCGGAAAAGCGCGAACTGGCACAAGACTCAAATCCACCCCCTGGCGTAGCATGAGCTTGCCCGAACCAGAGCCGGCCGGCTCAGCTCCAGCAGGGCCTATTGTGCTTTAACGCCAGGTTCGTTACTTGAGCACCGAGGGCCGTCGCCGCGCTAGTTCCCCAGCCACCCCCGCACAACAAGCCACAAACCACCCAAGGGCCCTGCCCCTAAGGAAATAAACTGCATACTACCTCCCATGCTTTACCTCTTCCCATCACCACACAGGCACATACCACCCCATAACACCTTCATAGCAATAGGAGAAAAACACAGAGACCCCCTTTCGGAAACAACACGTCTCGAGTGGATGTATTTTGAGGTGCAAAGAGAGGAGCGGAAAAGCGCGAACTAGCACAAGACTCAAATCCACCCCCTGGCGTAGCATGAGCTTGCCCGAACCAGAGCCGGCCAGCTCGGCTCCAGCAGGGCCTATTGTGCTTTAACGCCATGTTCGTTACTTGAGCACCGAGGGCCGTCGCAGCACTAGTTCCCCAGCCAGCCCCGCACAACAAGCCACAAACCACCCAAGGGCACTGCCCTTAAGAAAGTGCACTGCATGATTGCACCCATGCTTTCACTTTACCTACACACTCACCCTCAATCCCCAAGGCAGGCACACTCAATGCAGGACGCGCAAGGAAGGAGGCACGCTCACTGCAGGACGCGCAAGGAAGGAGGCACGCTCACTGCAGGACGCGCAAGGAAGGAGGCACGCTCACTGCAGGACGCGCAAGGAAGGAGGCACGCTCACTGCAGGACGCGCAAGGAAGGAGGCACGCTCACTGCAGGACGCGCAAGGAAGGAGGCACGCTCACTGCAGGACGCGCAAGGAAGGAGGCACGCTCACTGCAGGACGCGCAAGGAAGGAGGCACGCTCACTGCAGGACGCGCAAGGAAGGAGGCACGCTCACTGCAGGACGCGCAAGGAAGGAGGCACGCTCACTGCAGGACGCGCAAGGAAGGAGGCACGCTCACTGCAGGACGCGCAAGGAAGGAGGCACGCTCACTGCAGGACGCGCAAGGAAGGAGGCACGCTCACTGCAGGACGCGCAAGGAAGGAGGCACGCTCACTGCAGGACGCGCAAGGAAGGAGGCACGCTCACTGCAGGACGCGCAAGGAAGGAGGCACGCTCACTGCAGGACGCGCAAGGAAGGAGGCACGCTCACTGCAGGACGCGCAAGGAAGGAGGCACGCTCACTGCAGGACGCGCAAGGAAGGAGGCACGCTCACTGCAGGACGCGCAAGGAAGGAGGCACGCTCACTGCAGGACGCGCAAGGAAGGAGGCACGCTCACTGCAGGACGCGCAAGGAAGGAGGCACGCTCACTGCAGGACGCGCAAGGAAGGAGGCACGCTCACTGCAGGACGCGCAAGGAAGGAGGCACGCTCACTGCAGGACGCGCAAGGAAGGAGGCACGCTCACTGCAGGACGCGCAAGGAAGGAGGCACGCTCACTGCAGGACGCGCAAGGAAGGAGGCACGCTCACTGCAGGACGCGCAAGGAAGGAGGCACGCTCACTGCAGGACGCGCAAGGAAGGAGGCACGCTCACTGCAGGACGCGCAAGGAAGGAGGCACGCTCACTGCAGGACGCGCAAGGAAGGAGGCACGCTCACTGCAGGACGCGCAAGGAAGGAGGCACGCTCACTGCAGGACGCGCAAGGAAGGAGGCACGCTCACTGCAGGACGCGCAAGGAAGGAGGCACGCTCACTGCAGGACGCGCAAGGAAGGAGGCACGCTCACTGCAGGACGCGCAAGGAAGGAGGCACGCTCACTGCAGGACGCGCAAGGAAGGAGGCACGCTCACTGCAGGACGCGCAAGGAAGGAGGCACGCTCACTGCAGGACGCGCAAGGAAGGAGGCACGCTCACTGCAGGACGCGCAAGGAAGGAGGCACGCTCACTGCAGGACGCGCAAGGAAGGAGGCACGCTCACTGCAGGACGCGCAAGGAAGGAGGCACGCTCACTGCAGGACGCGCAAGGAAGGAGGCACGCTCACTGCAGGACGCGCAAGGAAGGAGGCACGCTCACTGCAGGACGCGCAAGGAAGGAGGCACGCTCACTGCAGGACGCGCAAGGAAGGAGGCACGCTCACTGCAGGACGCGCAAGGAAGGAGGCACGCTCACTGCAGGACGCGCAAGGAAGGAGGCACGCTCACTGCAGGACGCGCAAGGAAGGAGGCACGCTCACTGCAGGACGCGCAAGGAAGGAGGCACGCTCACTGCAGGACGCGCAAGGAAGGAGGCACGCTCACTGCAGGACGCGCAAGGAAGGAGGCACGCTCACTGCAGGACGCGCAAGGAAGGAGGCACGCTCACTGCAGGACGCGCAAGGAAGGAGGCACGCTCACTGCAGGACGCGCAAGGAAGGAGGCACGCTCACTGCAGGACGCGCAAGGAAGGAGGCACGCTCACTGCAGGACGCGCAAGGAAGGAGGCACGCTCACTGCAGGACGCGCAAGGAAGGAGGCACGCTCACTGCAGGACGCGCAAGGAAGGAGGCACGCTCACTGCAGGACGCGCAAGGAAGGAGGCACGCTCACTGCAGGACGCGCAAGGAAGGAGGCACGCTCACTGCAGGACGCGCAAGGAAGGAGGCACGCTCACTGCAGGACGCGCAAGGAAGGAGGCACGCTCACTGCAGGACGCGCAAGGAAGGAGGCACGCTCACTGCAGGACGCGCAAGGAAGGAGGCACGCTCACTGCAGGACGCGCAAGGAAGGAGGCACGCTCACTGCAGGACGCGCAAGGAAGGAGGCACGCTCACTGCAGGACGCGCAAGGAAGGAGGCACGCTCACTGCAGGACGCGCAAGGAAGGAGGCACGCTCACTGCAGGACGCGCAAGGAAGGAGGCACGCTCACTGCAGGACGCGCAAGGAAGGAGGCACGCTCACTGCAGGACGCGCAAGGAAGGAGGCACGCTCACTGCAGGACGCGCAAGGAAGGAGGCACGCTCACTGCAGGACGCGCAAGGAAGGAGGCACGCTCACTGCAGGACGCGCAAGGAAGGAGGCACGCTCACTGCAGGACGCGCAAGGAAGGAGGCACGCTCACTGCAGGACGCGCAAGGAAGGAGGCACGCTCACTGCAGGACGCGCAAGGAAGGAGGCACGCTCACTGCAGGACGCGCAAGGAAGGAGGCACGCTCACTGCAGGACGCGCAAGGAAGGAGGCACGCTCACTGCAGGACGCGCAAGGAAGGAGGCACGCTCACTGCAGGACGCGCAAGGAAGGAGGCACGCTCACTGCAGGACGCGCAAGGAAGGAGGCACGCTCACTGCAGGACGCGCAAGGAAGGAGGCACGCTCACTGCAGGACGCGCAAGGAAGGAGGCACGCTCACTGCAGGACGCGCAAGGAAGGAGGCACGCTCACTGCAGGACGCGCAAGGAAGGAGGCACGCTCACTGCAGGACGCGCAAGGAAGGAGGCACGCTCACTGCAGGACGCGCAAGGAAGGAGGCACGCTCACTGCAGGACGCGCAAGGAAGGAGGCACGCTCACTGCAGGACGCGCAAGGAAGGAGGCACGCTCACTGCAGGACGCGCAAGGAAGGAGGCACGCTCACTGCAGGACGCGCAAGGAAGGAGGCACGCTCACTGCAGGACGCGCAAGGAAGGAGGCACGCTCACTGCAGGACGCGCAAGGAAGGAGGCACGCTCACTGCAGGACGCGCAAGGAAGGAGGCACGCTCACTGCAGGACGCGCAAGGAAGGAGGCACGCTCACTGCAGGACGCGCAAGGAAGGAGGCACGCTCACTGCAGGACGCGCAAGGAAGGAGGCACGCTCACTGCAGGACGCGCAAGGAAGGAGGCACGCTCACTGCAGGACGCGCAAGGAAGGAGGCACGCTCACTGCAGGACGCGCAAGGAAGGAGGCACGCTCACTGCAGGACGCGCAAGGAAGGAGGCACGCTCACTGCAGGACGCGCAAGGAAGGAGGCACGCTCACTGCAGGACGCGCAAGGAAGGAGGCACGCTCACTGCAGGACGCGCAAGGAAGGAGGCACGCTCACTGCAGGACGCGCAAGGAAGGAGGCACGCTCACTGCAGGACGCGCAAGGAAGGAGGCACGCTCACTGCAGGACGCGCAAGGAAGGAGGCACGCTCACTGCAGGACGCGCAAGGAAGGAGGCACGCTCACTGCAGGACGCGCAAGGAAGGAGGCACGCTCACTGCAGGACGCGCAAGGAAGGAGGCACGCTCACTGCAGGACGCGCAAGGAAGGAGGCACGCTCACTGCAGGACGCGCAAGGAAGGAGGCACGCTCACTGCAGGACGCGCAAGGAAGGAGGCACGCTCACTGCAGGACGCGCAAGGAAGGAGGCACGCTCACTGCAGGACGCGCAAGGAAGGAGGCACGCTCACTGCAGGACGCGCAAGGAAGGAGGCACGCTCACTGCAGGACGCGCAAGGAAGGAGGCACGCTCACTGCAGGACGCGCAAGGAAGGAGGCACGCTCACTGCAGGACGCGCAAGGAAGGAGGCACGCTCACTGCAGGACGCGCAAGGAAGGAGGCACGCTCACTGCAGGACGCGCAAGGAAGGAGGCACGCTCACTGCAGGACGCGCAAGGAAGGAGGCACGCTCACTGCAGGACGCGCAAGGAAGGAGGCACGCTCACTGCAGGACGCGCAAGGAAGGAGGCACGCTCACTGCAGGACGCGCAAGGAAGGAGGCACGCTCACTGCAGGACGCGCAAGGAAGGAGGCACGCTCACTGCAGGACGCGCAAGGAAGGAGGCACGCTCACTGCAGGACGCGCAAGGAAGGAGGCACGCTCACTGCAGGACGCGCAAGGAAGGAGGCACGCTCACTGCAGGACGCGCAAGGAAGGAGGCACGCTCACTGCAGGACGCGCAAGGAAGGAGGCACGCTCACTGCAGGACGCGCAAGGAAGGAGGCACGCTCACTGCAGGACGCGCAAGGAAGGAGGCACGCTCACTGCAGGACGCGCAAGGAAGGAGGCACGCTCACTGCAGGACGCGCAAGGAAGGAGGCACGCTCACTGCAGGACGCGCAAGGAAGGAGGCACGCTCACTGCAGGACGCGCAAGGAAGGAGGCACGCTCACTGCAGGACGCGCAAGGAAGGAGGCACGCTCACTGCAGGACGCGCAAGGAAGGAGGCACGCTCACTGCAGGACGCGCAAGGAAGGAGGCACGCTCACTGCAGGACGCGCAAGGAAGGAGGCACGCTCACTGCAGGACGCGCAAGGAAGGAGGCACGCTCACTGCAGGACGCGCAAGGAAGGAGGCACGCTCACTGCAGGACGCGCAAGGAAGGAGGCACGCTCACTGCAGGACGCGCAAGGAAGGAGGCACGCTCAATGCAGGACGCGCAAGGAAGGAGGCACGCTCACTGCAGGACGCGCAAGGAAGGAGGCACGCTCAATGCAGGACGCGCAAGGAAGGAGGCACGCTCAATGCAGGACGCGCAAGGAAGGAGGCACGGTCAATGCAGGACGCGCAAGGAAGGAGGCACGCTCAATGCAGGACGCGCAAGGAAGGAGGCACGGTCAATGCAGGACGCGCAAGGAAGGAGGCACGGTCAATGCAGGACGCGCAAGGAAGGAGGCACGGTCAATGCAGGACGCGCAAGGAAGGAGGCACGGTCAATGCAGGACGCGCAAGGAAGGAGGCACGGTCAATGCAGGACGCGCAAGGAAGGAGGCACGGTCAATGCAGGACGCGCAAGGAAGGAGGCACGGTCAATGCAGGACGCGCAAGGAAGGAGGCACGGTCAATGCAGGACGCACAAGGAAGGAGGCACGGTCAATGCAGGACGCACAAGGAAGGAGGCACGGTCAATGCAGGACGCACAAGGAAGGAGGCACGGTCAATGCAGGACGCACAAGGAAGGAGGCACGGTCAATGCAGGACGCACAAGGAAGGAGGCACGGTCAATGCAGGACGCACAAGGAAGGAGGCACGGTCAATGCAGGACGCACAAGGAAGGAGGCACGGTCAATGCAGGACGCACAAGGAAGGAGGCACGGTCAATGCAGGAAGCACAAGGAAGGAGGCACGGTCAATGCAGGATGCAGGGACGGAGATCAAGGCGGGGGTAGGGATCAAGGGGGAAGGATGCAGGGACGGAGATCAAGGCGGGGGTAGGGATCAAGGGGGAAGGATGCACAAGGAAGGAGGCACGGTCAATGCAGGATGCACAAGGAAGGAGGCGCGGTTAATGCAGGATGCAGGGACGGAGATCAAGGCGGGGGTAGGGATCAAGGGGGAAGGATGCAGGGACGGAGATCAAGGCGGGGGTAGGGATCAAGGGGGAAGGATGCAGGGACGGAGATCAAGGCGGGGGTAGGGATCAAGGGGGAAGGATGCAGGGACGGAGATCAAGGCGGGGGTAGGGATCAAGAGGGAAGGATGCAGGGCAGGAAGCAAGGCGAAAGGATGCAAGGCAGGAAACAAGGCGAAAGGATGCAAGGCAGGAAACAAGGCGAAAGGATGCAAGGCAGGAAAGAACAGTATTGAGGCGGCGGCAGGGATTAGTTTGAAATAGTGGAAGATCGTAGGAGTAGGATGGGGTTGAGTGGGAAGAAGAGGGCAGATCAACGTGGAAGTGGCAAACAACATCACAGCACGGATATAGCGTGGAAAGAGTGGATACAGAAGGCTCTCACAGAAGGAGTGAATCCCAGTGCAGCAGGATGGTGAGCACTTGACCACGTGTGGCCGACCAACCCCTTACCCTCTGGCTTTGTAGCCATCGCCCTCGAGAGGAGCACCCGCCCGCCCAACATACACACACACACTCTTCGTTCATGCAGGATCTCCTCTCCTTTCGCGTCCCCCTCGTCGCGCGTCCCCCACACCACACACAGGTTTCTCTTTCATGCCCGCTCTCCTCTGCTTTCGCCCCCTATCTCCTTTCCTCATGTGTGGACAAGCGAGGTCGCCGTCCGCCGTGCTGTTGGCCGCCGTGCCACACGACTTGGCAATGTCCACCTGGCACTGCAGCGCCAGCGCCACGTCAGCGAGGTAGAAATGCGACTCGCGCACCGTCTGCAGCGCCACCTCAGAGCGACACGCCACCCCCATGCTTCCCTGGAAGTGGCAGCAGCAGCAAGGAAAAGTGCCAGAGAAATGAACAGGGAGAGGCGTTGGGAACTACCAAGGTAGGCACCGCAGCAAGAGCAGCGCTGGTGGGTGGTACAAGGGATGGTGGCAGAGAGCCGGGAGTGCGAGCAGGAGAGCCGCAAGAGAGAGGTGATGGCACCACCGCATCCCTGCTGTGCCGGCATGAGCTGCACAGCATCACCTGCCGCTGGCGCACTCACCTGTTGCAGTCCCATGGCCTCACCTGGCCCAGGCTGGTCTACAGGCAGCGGAAGGCCTTGCCCTCGCTGGGCGGCACGCCGCGGCAGAAGGCATGCAGCTCCAACCCACACCACACGCGTTCATGAGCGAGGGCGTGAGCCGGATGTGCGATGCCTCCATGGCTGAGAACTGCAGCTCCTCGTCTCGGCACTCGGGCTTGAGCTAGGGTGGCGCTGACGAAGGCAGGAGAGCACCTCGCTGCAGCTCGCACAGCGCTCCGATGTCGTCCACACACACGCGCTGCAGCGGCACGTCCAGCATCACATCGCCCACCTCGCGCCGCTCAAAGTATGCCAGGCACTGCAGCACGCGGCCACTGCTGGTCGCTCACATCTCGCGATGACAGAGGCGTTGCACTCGGGGCATTGCAGCACGCGGCCGCCGCACTGGCCGCCCGAGGAGCCACCAGCGGTGGTGAGGGAGTCGTTCTTGGGCGGCAGTGGTGGTGAAGGGGCCGCCAGGCACTGCAGCACTCGTGCATGCAGAGGCGCTGCACGCCGCTGAAACACGCACGATTCAGCCTTGTAGTTCAGGCGGAAGTCTGTGGGGGAGGTAGAGGGGAAGGGAGGTGTGAGGGGTGCAGAGATGCGGCGTGCAGGATGAAGGAAAGAGTGGTGAGAGTTGGCTGCGTGACGGGTTGGTGGCATGTGCATGCGGTTGCACGTGTGCTATGCGTGTGTGCCACGTGTGCGGCATGTACTGTCAGACTTTATATTATTTATATTTGTAACTGCCTGTAGCTGTAGTTAGTGTAGTTATTGCAAATGTTGTTAGGTGGTGCACCCTTTTGTTTCCTATACTATATGTTCCTTGAACCTATAGTGAAACTCCCTTTTCTCCCTCACAACTTTCTCGACTCTCCCCCCTTGGGCCCAACTCACTCGATACCTAAGTTGGGCCTAGGCTCCTAAGCCTAGGCCCTTACGTTCTAATTATTTTAACATGGTTGTCAGAGCAGGTTGGTCCTGGCCTGTGGGCCCGACCAAAGCTTCCGCTGCTGAATTTCTGGTCACGCGCCTCGGGCGCGTGACGTTTTTATTTTCTACCCGTCGCGGACCCGCCCCCTTTGGCGCCCGCGGCGGTGCTCTTGGCGCCCGCGGACCCGCCTCTGGCGCCCGCGGCGGTGCCCCTTGCCGTTGCAGACCCGCCCCTGGCGCCCGCGGCGGTGCTCTTGGCGCCCGCGGACCCGCCCCTGGCGCCCGCGGCGGTGCCCTTGGCGCCCGCGGACCCGCCTCTGGCGCCCGCGGCGGTGCCCTGCGCCATCGCGGACCCGCCCCTGGCGCCCGTGGCGGTGCCCTTGAGCCGCCGCGGACCCGCCCCTGGCGCCTGCGACGGTGCTATCCGCACCTGCATTCCCTGAAGCCGCCCCTGACACCACTGCACCGACACCTCTTCGCCGCTCTGCGGCTTGCTTCCTTCCCACCCCCCTCCTCCTTTGTCTCCCTGCAGCCGCGGGGAGGAGGGTATGGGGGTGGAGGGTGTTGGAGTGTGGGTCGTACCCTTCCCTTCCCCTCCTCCTCCTTTTGTTCCCACTGCTGCAGCTGCCGCTGGGGGGGAGGGTGTGAGGGTGTGGGGGAGCAGGGGGAGAGGCGCCGGGGTGACGGGTGTGAGGCAACCAGCAGCCGTCCCTCCACCTCTCCTCTCTTCCCCCCCTCTCTACTGCTCCTGCAGCAGTGTGGGGGAGGGGAGGGAGGAGGGTGAGGTGATGGAGGGGGTGACCAGTTAGTGTCTGCCCGCCTGCAGTACCTGCTGTTGCTTGGTTATTATCTTGCTTGTGTTGCTTGTGTACCCCTGCAAGTTGTGTTCTGCACAAACTTCTGCTGCAGGCAGTTATGGGGGAGTGTCAGACTTTATATTATTTATATTTGTAACTGCCTGTAGCTGTAGTTAGTGTAGTTATTGCAAATGTTGTTAGGTGGTGCACCCTTTTGTTTCCTATACTATATGTTCCTTGAACCTATAGTGAAACCCACTTTTCACCTTCACAACTTTCTCGACTCTCCCCCCTTGGGCCCAACTCACTCGATACCTAAGTTGGGCCTAGGCTCCTAAGCCTAGGCCCTTACGTTCTAATTATTTTAACATGTACGCCATGTGCAAGTGATGCCATGCATGTGCACTGACCGTGAGCGCTGCGCTCCTCGTCCTTCTTGACCTCCGTCTTGCACTGCTCGCCCATGTCCTCATCCTCCACGTGCTTCTGCAAACATGCTATCGTGTCGCCCCCTCCTGCCCCACCAACATGGCGACACACAGCACTGGAGGACGATGCAGTAAGCTGGTTATTTCCCCTGTCACACCAGCAGCAGAGGATGCACAGTGCGACTCAGCAGGAGAAGACGAGGCTCATAGCCATTGCCCCTCGTCCCTCGTTTGTTTATGGTGCGCGGTCCCCGTCGCCGCGCGTCGTCCTCGTCTCCCTCGCCGCGCGTCTCCCGTAGTCGCTCGCCCCACCGTCGTCGCTCGCCTCCCATCTTCGATCATCTCCCGTCCCGCGCGGCCCCTCGTCGCGAGCCTCCCGTCCCGCGCGCCCCGTCGCGCACCTCCCCTCGTCGCGGGTCCCCCGTCGTCCTGCCGTGCAGCTCCTTAATCGACGCAAGATGCTTCCTTTCCCTAATCGAGCATGCTGCGCCGTTCCCTTCCTTCAGTCGCAGCCGTTGCATCGTCGCTGCCTCCCGTCGTCACGTAACCCACTGTCGTCGCGCGACCACTGTCGTCATGCGACCCACTGTCGTCGCGCGTCGCACTGTCGTCGCTCGTCTTGCTCGCGCTGCCGCGGGATGATTACCGGTGGGAGGAGTAAGATCTTCGTTGGAAGCAGCGGCACCGGCTTGAACCGTCACCGTCATGACGTCACCTTAACTCTTGCTGCTTGGACGGAGATTTCACCGTGCTCGCTCTCCATGCTCGAACGGAGATTTTGCCGTGCTCGCTCTCCATGCTCGGACGGAGATTTCGCCGTGCTCGCTCTCCATGCACGGACGGAGATTTTGCCGTGCTCGCTCTCCATGCTCGGACGGAGATTTCGCCGTGCTTGCTCTCCATGCTCGGATGGAGATTTTGCCGTGCTCGCTCTCCATGCTCGGACGGAGATTTTGCCGTGCTCGCTCTCCATGCTCGGACGGAGATTTTGCTGTGCTCGCTCTCAATGCTCGGACGGAGATTTTGCCGTGCTCGCTCTCCATGCTCGGACGGAGATTTTGCTGTGCTCGCTCTCCATGCTTGGACGGAGATTTTGCCGTGCTCGCTCTCCATGCTCGGACGGAGATTTTGCCGTGCTCGCTCTCCATGCTCGGACGGAGATTTTGCCGTGCTCGCTCTCCATGCTCGGACGAAGATTTTGCCGTGCTCGCTCTCCATGCTCGGACGGAGATTTTGCCGTGCTCGCTCTCCATGCTCGGACGGAGATTTTGCCGTGCTCGCTCTCCATGCTCGGACGGAGATTTTGCCGTGCTCACTCTCCATACTCGGACGGAGATTTTGCCGTGCTCGCTCTCCATGCTCGGACGGAGATTTTGTCGTGTTTGCTCTCCATGCTCGGACGGAGATTTTGTCGTGCTCGCTCTTCATGCTCGGACGGAGATTTTGCCGCAACGACAAGAATCGTCGCCGGCGCCGGCCGACTTTGCCTGCGACCGTTGACCGTGATCGACAAGTCAGTTTTCTTTGTGCACGGGTCTGCGGTGCTCGCTTCTGCATCCTGTGCTGCATCTGCTTCTGCCGATACTCTATGCGTGACACTTGACGTTAAACGTGTCAGGGCTGCTACAGTGATGCGCTGCTTTAAGTGCGACTACAAATGGTGGCTATAGTCGCAACTACTGTGCGTAAGAGTAATCCGTGCAGATGATAATGACTTGCTCGTCGCACAGCTACTCAACGTGTTCACGATTCGGGCGGCATTGATAGCCTTCGGCAGTTCGCGAATGCTCGTCTTAACTTCTACAACAGCTGCTGGAGTCAAGCTGGATGCAGAAACTATCTGATACGGACTAAAACGTGATAACGTGAAAAGTTACTTAAGCTAGAACCATTCCAACACTCGTAAGTTTGCCAGCTAAGTCGAGCGATCTGGAGCATTGTATAATAGCGTCGTCAATCTGACACTATTCCGCTGCGTGATCATAACACAATCAGAAGGATATAGGAATTTGGAGGAAGCCATGGCGGTGAGCAAGTGAGGTAAGGCAAATATGAGAGCAAGCGAGCAGGAAGGGGAGGGCTTTGGCAGACAGAGAACAAGGATACAATACATGCAGTCTTGCCGTTCCTGCCCTACCAACACGGCAGGTAAAACTTTTTGCGCGGGGCTCTGATCGAAGCTCGCTCCAAGCAAGTCCAAACCAGAAGTGAGCAGGCTCGGAATCAAACCGAGGAAGCTTTACAAAATCGGAGGGAAAACAGGCTCAGCATGCCAGGCGGCGACAAGAGGAGGCGAGCCGCCTGACACAAACCCGAAGCAAGGGCTGGCTACTCCGACGCAAACTCTGCGAAACTGGTTTATTCTCGCGTAAGCGAAGATTCGCTTTTGCGGAATTTTATGATTACGCGAATACAGCTAATATATGTCCAATACATGACGTATTTGGCCTTTTGAAGCATTATGATATGAGGACTTCTTCTGTACTACATGCAATCATTTCCTTTTCCAGGACTAGATAATGGTTATAACACAGAAAGGTTGAAGAATAGTGAATAATAAACATTTGATTAGACTGCGTAAATTGGATCATACCAAAACGTTTGAACTCGATTTATTCTGCCTAACTCCGAAAGTTGTCTGTGTTGAACGATATTTCATACAGTCATCCGTTACACGTTCGCTTCTTCTGATTTGCATTCAAACATCGAGAATGGGAACTTCCCCACGTTCCTTCGCGACGCTAGGATGCTGCTTGACGGGATTGCTGTCCTGTCCAAGTCGTCAAGCAAGAGAACTTCATTCTATCGAACACGCACCCCCACGCAAGTCGCATCGCAAGGCTAGCGTCTAGTTCTACAGCTAACACTCTCCTGAAGCTCGACCCTCTTGTACATACAGATCCACGCTATTCACGTCGCGAGGCTAGGCAGGATTGATGTGCATCTAACAATTCGGTCCTTCAAGCAAGCACCCGACCCCGTTAGTATACACCAGGAGAGACTCGACCTGCTAGCGTCGAGGACAGTTCCAGGAGAGAAACTTCGAGAGGCTACTTACCCTGCTAATCCGACCCGTGACTCCGCTTATCGGATTTGAGATTCCGGTAAACTGTGTCTCTACTATGAGAGTTGAAATAAGAATGAAATCACTAAGGAATGGAATGTGGTACAAATATGCAACCCTAGAAATGTGTACCCCATATAGGCTACCCCACTACAGCCTACAGAACATTATGATTTGACACACCCCCATAGGCAAAGTGGGGGAGAACAAGGGGTCACAAGACCAGTCAAGCAGAACAAAGCAAAGCTCAGGGTGGATCACAAAGTCACCACACATTCCGAGCACAAGTTCAAGGCCAGAAGGCCAGTTCACATGCAAGAGCACACATATATATATATAAAAGGCTAAACAAGCAAGTGCAGGAGTATATATATGTGAGAGTACAAGCAAGGTCAAGAAGTGAGCAAGTGAGGCAAGGCAGGCACAAGACCAAGCTGAGTACAGAAGCGCTGATGATCACAAGGCACAAGTGCCTTAGTGAAGATATCAGCAGTGTTGGCCTCACAGGCCACGTAGGCAAGTCGCAACTGACCACGCTGCTGCAGCTCACAAGCAAGAAAGTAGCGGAGAGCAATATGCTTCGTTCTGTGCTCCATGCGCTGCTCCCGACACAAGGCCAGCATGGCCTTGTTGTCTACGTACAGCACTGGAGGAGAACGAGGCGGCTCTCCGAGGTCAGTCAGCAGGTAGGTGAGCCAGCAAAGCTCCTGAGCAGCCATGGCTCCTGCGTAGATCTCAGCCTCACATCTGGAGCCCAGAACGGAAGACGAGCGAGTAGCCCTCCACGAAACAGAGCCGGAACCAAGGCTGAATGTGTAACCCTGTGACGACCGCTGTGTAGCCTGGTCGTCAGCCCAAGAAGCGTCTGCGTGCCCAGTGAGGACCACTGGACTCTGCCCTCCAAGCACTAGCCCCATGTCCAACGTTTTGCACAAGTAGCGCAACACCCTCTTCGCTGCAGCCATGTGCTCCGGTCTGTGTCTCCCAGGAGCAACATAGCGTGCGAGAATGCTAAGAGGGTATGCAAGGCCAGGTCGTGTGCAGGTCATCAGGTACATGAGGCAGCCAACAAGCTCTGGGTACGGGCCACTCGACTCTACGGACTCATCCGAAGGCAGAGCTGAGAGCGAGTGGCGAGTAGGCAGAGGAGTGGCCTGAGGCGAGGAGTACGTGAAGCCGAAGCGCTGAAGGACCTGCTGCACCATGTGTGACTGAGTCAGGGTAATGGTGCGGCGTGCTCTGTCCCGGGTGATCTGCAAGCCAAGGTAGCTGCGCAGTTCACCCAGGTCTGTGCACGTGTGTCTCTTCTGCAGCTCGGACTTCACGTGGGCGAGTCCAGCAGTGTCAGCAGTGGCAAAGACCAAGTCGTCGACGTACATGAGGATGTAGAACGGCAGCAAAGAGGTGTCGGTGCGCAGAAACAGCAACGGGTCGGCAGTAGAGGGAGCAAGCCCAAGAGCCGCAAGCGTAGTCCTCAGTGTGTCGTGCCACTCACGCGGTGCCTGGCGGAGACCGTAGACTGGCCGCCGGAGGCTCCACTGGGTGCCAGGAGGAAAAGTCCCAGTGAAGCCAGGTGGGCGACGCAGCCAGATCTCCTCGTGCAGGCTACCCTGCAAGAAAGCAGTGCTGAAGTCAAGAGAGTGAACCTCGTAGTCGCGCTGAGCGGCTATGTGCAGCAGCACCAGAAGAGTGGTCATCTTTGGGGTGGGAGAGAAGGTCTGAAAGTAGTCAACTCCCTGCCGCTAACTGAAGCCACGAGCCACGTACCGCGCCTTGAAGACAGGTGGAGAACCTGGCGGCCGCTTCACCCTGAAGATCCACATGCCACTAACGATGTTCGCCCCAGGTGGGGGAACCGCATCAACGTAGGTGCCTGTGGACTTCCAGGAAGCCATCTCTGCATCCATAGCTGCCTGCCACTGAGAGGAGTAAGGACCCTCTACGGCCTCCGCGTAAGAGCGCGGAGTCGGGATGTCAAGTGCATCCGGGTCTCCCTCAGGGGTAAGTTGTACGGACACGAGATGAGGTGAAGCAGCAGCCAGAAACTGGAAAACCTCCTGCCTGTCCTCAAGGACGTCCGTGCCAAGGGCACACTCACCCCCGACGGACGGAGGACAGACATACTCAGACTCAGCGACAAGACTAGCAGTGTAGTCTAGATGACAGCGAGCAGCAAAGTCGACGAGCTCAACAACTAGGAGAGACGCAGCAGTGGACTCAAAAGAAGGGTCAGTAACAACAGTAGCAAGGAGACGCGTGATAGTAGGACTGGCAGCACGAATAGAGTCCGACTCCGGGTCGGCAAGAGCAAGAAGAGAAGACTCAGGAGGAGAAGGCAAAGGGGCACGCAGAGGAGCTGTGGACGGACGCAGAGACATCCGGTGCGTGCCAGGGACAGGAGGAGGACGCTGACGCGAACTGCGACCACTAGTGAGAGGAGCACGGACAAGCGACGCAGGGCGAGACGCAGGCTCACGACGCTCAGCAAGACCTCCTGTAGAACGAGTGTAGGGAGACGGAGCAGGCAGTGGGGAGGCCGGCTGTAACTGTAACTGCGACGGGACAGGCTGTGGACACTCTAAGGGAGGAGGAGGACCAGTAGAAGACAGGAGACCAAGAACCTGCTGAAGGAGCGGAACGAAGTACGGCCGAGGCCGCGCGGCGACTCCAGACACAGCAGGGACAGCACCAGCACCCCCAGTGGCAGCACCAGCACCAGTAGCAGCTCCAGCTCCAGTACCTCCAGCAGCACCAGTAGTACCCCCAGCAGGACCGCCTCCAGGACCGACAGCAGGAGCCTCCGCGCCAACACCCGCAGCAGCTCCAGCTCCAGAAGTACCCGCAGGCCCAGCAGCTCCAGTACTCCCAGTACGAGCACCTCCGAGACCCGTGGCACCAGCTCCCTCAGCTACAACACAACCTCCAGTACCCGCAGCACCTCCAGCTCCAGCAGCTCGCCTCTAGCGCCGGGCAAACCACTCACGCAGCTCCTGTGGAGAGAGTGGCTCTCGGCACGACGAAGCACCCGGAGAACCGCCAGGCACAGCACCAGCAGGCCCAGCTCCCTCAGGCTCCGCACCCCCAGGCTCAGTACCTCCACGCGTAGCACCCCAAGGCCCAGCACCCCCAGGCGTAGCACCCCCAGGCTCAGCACCCCCAGACTCAACACCCCCAGTAGTAGCACCCTCAGGCTCAGCACCCCCAGGCGTAGCACCCACACGCTCAGCACCCCCAGAGTCAGCACCCCCAGGCTCAGCACCCTCAGCAGCACCAGAGTCACCAGTAACCTCGACAGGCTCGACTGCGTCTACCTAGGACACACCTGAAAGGGCAGGACCCTGAGGGGGGAGGGGGTCTACCGGGGGGGGACCTGGCACAAGGAAGAGCGGTGGCGGGGGGAGGGACGGAGTGCGGTAGTGGATGAGGCGGTAGTAGGGGACCGACTCGTCAAACGTGACGTCCTGGGAGGACAGAACACGACGAGAGGTGGGGTGGTAGAACTGCCACCCTGGCGCGTCAGGGGGGAAGCCAAGGAAGACGCAAGGAGCAGCACGAGGGGACAGCTTGTCCGCAGACAAGTCGCGGACAAACGCCCGAGATCCCCAGACACGGAATGCAGACGCATCGCCTACCTTCCCCGTCCACAGCAAAGCTGGGGAGGTCTCCGGCATGGAGACCCTGGGGTGAAGGTTGATCTGATGCGCCGCGTACCGAACCGCAAACGGCCACAGAAAATTGGGGGCACCCGCATGCATCATGGACGTATGGGCGACCTCTATGACCATGCCAATGCGGCACTCAGCAATCCCATTTTGCTGTGGAGAGTCCGGAAGCGTAAAGGTCTGGCGGATGCCTCGCGCACGACAGTAGGCTCGCAGAAGGCCAGAGGAGAACTCTCCGCCTCGGTCAGAGTGCAGACGCAGAACAAGAAAGTCCGAGCCGAAGCTATCCTGAGCTGGAGACGAGCTGCGCGGATCCAGTCGATCAACACCTCAGTGACATCACTCTTGCTGCGCAAGGGGAAGACTGTGGTGTAACGCGAGTAGTCGTCAACCACCAGCAGGAAGTAGCGCTCGTGACCCTGTCCACGGACGCGGGCCGGGCCCCACACGTCCATGTGAAGCGTCTGCAGCGGGGCCTCTGTCGGGGGAAACTGAGAGGAGTGAGGGGCAGCCCGCAGCCGCCCCTCGACACAGAGGACGCAAGTGGGGCCAGGCCCCGGAGGAAGGGGAGGGAGGGACCGGGGAAGACCAGAGACAAGGACACGGGAGGCCATGCCTCGGAGACGAGGCAGGGAGGGGTGATCAAGGCGGTGGTGCCAGAGGAGAGTCTCGTGAGACAGGAGGCAACACGAGTAGGGGGCAGACTCAGAACCAGACCTGGACGCTGCAGCAAACACCTGACCCGACGCAGCTACCTGACCAGACGCAGGGACAGGAGGAGACTCAGTGGTCAGGGTGTACAGGCTCGACCCCGGCCGACGCGTAAACGTGGCCAGGTGCCGGCCTGTGCGAGCGTCCGAGCAGTGAGTCACCCGCTGACTCGCAGGAGTAAATTGGTGAACCCCCATATCCTGTAGGTCAGCACCACTCACCAAGTTCGTAGAGAACGAGGGCAGGTAAAGACCAGACAAGGTGCCAGAGGGGGCCGCCGGACACGGGAGGACAGTGGAGAAGTGAGAAAGGACAGGACCCCCAGAGGGGTCTGCCAGGGAGACTGCAACCGGCCCACCAAGCGGCGTGAGTGTGGTGCGGTCTCGAAAGAAGGAGCGAGAAGCCCCTGAGTCAAGTGTGAAGGTGAGGGAGGCCGAAGCCGACGCGGTACCCGCGAGTGCAGACTCACCAGCACCTAAGGACGCAGACGCACTGGCACCTAGAGCAGCAGCCTCACTGGCACCTAGAGCAGCAGCCTCACCAGTACCTAGAGCAGCAGTCTCAATGCCTGGGTCAGGCGGGAAACACCGGTAACAGTCACCTTCATCACTAATAGACACAGCATACATGGCAGAAAGGATAGCATCAAAATCAAGATCATAGATGGCAACTCCCGCCCTAGACAGCTCGCCCCAGCGAGGGATCTCCGTGGCCTCCGGGAACTAGTGACGCCACGCGTCCGTCAGGCGGCCAAAGCAGCGCTGGGTGGGGTGCGCACCCCCACACTGCTCACCCGCACGGTCGCCGGTGCGTAGGACGTAGGTGCACGGACCAAAGCCCCCACCCTGCTGGCGTGCAGTGTACCACTCACGGAGCTGCTGAGGGGACAAGGTCTCATGACCGCGCTGCTGCTGCTGGCGCGGACCACCACCGGAGCCACTCCTCTGCGTAGACCCGCGACCAGCTCCACCGCCACCCCCGCCGCCTCCGCCGCATCCGCCGCCTCCACTACTACCGCCGCCTTTGCCGCCTCCTCCACCGCCACCACCTCTACCGCCTCCGCTCCCACCGCCACCGCCGCCGCCGCCTCCGCCTCCACTGCCGCCACCAACACCTCCACCCCCACCTCCACTCCCACCGCCACCCCCACTCCCCCCGCCGCCTCCACCTCCACCTCCACCGCCCCCGCTCGCTCCTCCAGTGCCCCTGCCCCCCTTGCCTCTGCCAGAGCGGCGTCTCCCGCTAGGGGCAGACGCCGCACCGACCGACTCAAGACCAAGGAGGTCGGCTGCAGCAGTAGAGGCAACAGAGGGCAGAAGGGGGGAGGGGGAACACCCCTCAAAGATGGGGGTGCGCGGGTCACCACGAGAGGCCCCTACAGCGACTATGCTCTTTTCGGCCGCTAGGAGGGACTTCTCGAGGAGGTCAACAGTGAGAGTGGTGGGACAGACTGAGAGGAAGTAGTCCCTGACTACGCGAAGGGAGTCAGGGAGGCGAGTGACTATGTAGTAGAGAGTGATGTACATGGGGGGGGGGTTCTTGGCGCAAAAGTCAGCATGAAGCGCAGCGCGGTAGCGAGTGTCACTAGTCAGGAGGTGCGTAATGAGGTCAGCGACTGTGGGAAAGGCAGCAAGGTCAAGGAAGAGGTACGGTAGCATGAGACGGCTCAGTGCAGCAGTGGCAGGGGAGGAGTAGCGTGCAACTACAGCGTCGTACAAGGTCTGAGCACTCTTGTACTGACTAAAGTGCACACGCTCAGAGGTAGGGAGGTGGCGACGCACAGCAAGACGTGCAGTAGCATCGCTCGTGGCCCACTGTGAGCGAACAGTGGCGTCAGCATCAGCAGCAGGAGCAGGAGAGGCACCAGAGGTGAGGTCAAATAGGGAGAGACCGTCTGCCCTATCGCACTGTAAGAACAGCTGCAGGTCATCTACCCAGACGTCAAAGTCAATGGCTCGACCCTCGGCGTCAAAAGCGAGGACACTAGGGGTAGCCATGACAACAGTAGACTAGCAGCGCTGACTGTAGAGCAGGGGCAGTGCAATGACAGAGGCGCTGCGCTCACCAGACAGGGCGGTTCGGGCAGCTCGGGCGGCTCGGCAGCAACTACGGCTCGGCGGCACCCGCGGCTCGGCTCCTCAGCTGCTCAGGCGGCTTGGGCGGCTCGGGCGGCTTAGGCGGCTCGGGTGGCTCGGGCGGCTCGGGCGGCTCGGGCGGAACGGGCGGCTCGGGCTGCTGAGCGGCGCGGGCGGCTTGGCTGCGTAGGCGGTTTGGGCGGGGCCGTAGGTAGGGCGACGGGGCCGGTTCGAAGGTAGGGCGACGGGGCCGGTGCGCATGTAGGGCGACGGGGCCGGGGCCGGGGCGCAGGTAGGGCGACGGGGCCGGGTCGAAGGTAGGGCGACGGGGCCGGGGCCGGGCCGTAGGTAGGGTGACGGGACCGGGGCCGGGCCGTAGGTAGGGCGACGGGGCCGGGGCCGGGCCGTAGGTAGGGCGACGGGGCCGGGTTGACGGTAGGGCGACGGGGCCGGTGCGCAGGTAGGGCGACGGGGCCGGGGCCGGGGCGCAGGTAGGGCGACGGGGCCGAGGCGCAGGTAGGGCGACGAATCAGGGGCCGCTAAGGCGGCGCGACTTGGCCGCTAGGGCGGCTCAACGAAGTCAGAGAAGGGAGCGCGACTCGGGCAGAGCGCGCTCCGGGCAGGAAAAAAAAAACTTTCGACTTGGTGGGCCCTATGCACAGTTCCCACGAGGGAACCTGCTCGATACCATGTGAGAATTGAAATGAGAATGAAATCACTAAGGAATGGAATGTGGTACAAATATGCAACCCTAGAAATGTGTACCCCATATAGTCTACCCCACTACAGCCTACAGAACATTATGATTTGACATCTACGCTGCGACTCCGCGAACGTGACTCCACGCTGCGATTCCGCGGATCTACGACTCCGCGCGGCTCCGCGGTTCTTCTCAGAAGGGCACCATCAGAATAGCGACCTGTGGCGGCAGCGACTGATTCTCCCATCTGGTAACAAGACTCTAACAGTATTACTCACAGACTCGTCAGATATGACGTTCCGCTCAGATATGTTTCTCTTCCATCTTAGTATTCCACGCTCTCCTCCCCTCCCGCCCTCCTTCCTCGGCCCTGACTATAATCAGTACATGTTTGTTCCTGCAAACTACCCACAGACGCGTCAGCACTCTGATTGCATAGCGCCATCTATGATTTAATATCTTCTTCACTTCCATTCCTGTCTGATTAGTTCCCCCCTCTCCTCTCCCTTTTCCCTCTCGTCCTCCCTCCCCTGCCCTTTTATAACGCCCTTCTCTGTGTACTTGCAGCATTTCTACAGCACTCGTCTCTTTGTCGCGTGATTGACATGGATCACGGTGAAAATAGGAAGCGCACCACCGACGAGCCAGAGGGCGAACGCATCTACGAGACAGATTTGTGCCGCACGTTCGAGGTCATGCCAAAGGAGCTGCTCGTCTCTCAGCTCATTGAGGCGTAAGTTCCATGCTATATTTTATTTGTTTGTTATTGTTTTTCAAATCTCAGATCATGCTTGCTCCGTTGCGCGTGCTCCGTCATGCATGAGAGATCATGTTTGCCCTCTCTCATACGTGCGTGGATCTGGCTACAGGTGCTTCAAAAACGGGTTCACTCAGAGAGCGTTGACCACTATGGACACCAACGTATCCAACCGCACGCTTCTTGTGTCTGGCTTTCCGTACGAGACTCACAAGGAAACTTTACTTTTAGTAAGTGCACTGAATTCTCACCTAGTCCCTTTGCATTGATTCATGTTGTAGGCCTGTTGTGGGTGTTGCAGTGGCGTGGGCCTGTTGTGGGTGTTGCAGTGGCGTGGGCCTGTTGTGGGTGTTGCAGTGGCGTGGGCCTGTTGCGGGTGTTGCAGTGGCGTGGGCCTGTTGTGGGTGTTGCAGTGGCGTGGGCCTGTTGTGGGTGTTGCAGTGGCGTGGGCCTGTTGTGGGTGTTGCAGTGGCGTGGGCCTGTTGTGGGGGCTGCAGTGGCGTGGGCCTGTTGTGGGGGCTGCAGTGGCGTGGGCCTGCTGTGGGGGCTGCAGTGGCGTGGGCCTGCTGTGGGGGCTGCAGTGGCGTGGGCCTGCTGTGGGGGCTGCAGTGGCGTGGGCCTGCTGTGGGGGCTGCAGTGGCGTGGGCCTGCTGTGGGGGCTGCAGTGGCGTGGGCCTGCTGTGGGGGCTGCAGTGGCGTGGGCCTGCTGTGGGGGCTGCAGTGGCGTGGGCCTGCTGTGGGGGCTGCAGTGGCGTGGGCCTGCTGTGGGGGCTGCAGTGGCGTGGGCCTGCTGTGGGGGCTGCAGTGGCGTGGGCCTGCTGTGGGGGCTGCAGTGGCGTGGGCCTGCTGTGGGGGCTGCAGTGGCGTGGGCCTGCTGTGGGGGCTGCAGTGGCGTGGGCCTGCTGTGGGGGCTGCAGTGGCGTGGGCCTGCTGTGGGGGCTGCAGTGGCGTGGGCCTGCTGTGGGGGCTGCAGTGGCGTGGGCCTGCTGTGGGGGCTGCAGTGGCGTGGGCCTGCTGTGGGGGCTGCAGTGGCGTGGGCCTGCTGTGGGGGCTGCAGTGGCGTGGGCCTGCTGTGGGGGCTGCAGTGGCGTGGGCCTGCTGTGGGGGCTGCAGTGGCGTGGGCCTGCTGTGGGAGCTGCAGTGGCGTGGGCCTGCTGTGGGGGCTGCAGTGGCGTGGGCCTGCTGTGGGGGCTGCAGTGGCGTGGGCCTGCTGTGGGGGCTGCAGTGGCGTGGGCCTGCTGTGGGGGCTGCAGTGGCGTGGGCCTGCTGTGGGGGCTGCAGTGGCGTGGGCCTGCTGTGGGGGCTGCAGTGGCGTGGGCCTGCTGTGGGGGCTGCAGTGGCGTGGGCCTGCTGTGGGGGCTGCAGTGGCGTGGGCCTGCTGTGGGGGCTGCAGTGGCGTGGGCCTGCTGTGGGGGCTGCAGTGGCGTGGGCCTGCTGTGGGGGCTGCAGTGGCGTGGGCCTGCTGTGGGGGCTGCAGTGGCGTGGGCCTGCTGTGGGGGCTGCAGTGGCGTGGGCCTGCTGTGGGGGCTGCAGTGGCGTGGGCCTGCTGTGGGGGCTGCAGTGGCGTGGGCCTGCTGTGGGGGCTGCAGTGGCGTGGGCCTGCTGTGGGGGCTGCAGTGGCGTGGGCCTGCTGTGGGGGCTGCAGTGGCGTGGGCCTGCTGTGGGGGCTGCAGTGGCGTGGGCCTGCTGTGGGGGCTGCAGTGGCGTGGGCCTGCTGTGGGGGCTGCAGTGGCGTGGGCCTGCTATGGGGGCTGCAGTGGCGTGGGCCTGCTGTGGGGGCTGCAGTGGCGTGGGCCTGCTGTGGGGGCTGCAGTGGCGTGGGCCTGCTGTGGGGGCTGCAGTGGCGTGGGCGTGTTGTAGGGGTAGGGGTTGCCCATCTGCACCGGTGCTGCTGCCAAGGGTCCTATGGGACGTTAGCCCCATCACGATCATTTATCTGCAGTAAGTAGGTTCATTGGAGTAGTATGGGTAAGTTACGACAAACGTAAGAGGTTGTTCCTCTCCGTCTCTCTTGATTTCTTGAGCGTTTATGATTTTGACAACCGGAAAGTTGTATTCTTTGTTGATGACATCGTTCCAAGCTCCGTTCATTGGTACCTTCATTGATCGTCGCATGTTTCTTTTGTAACGTGCTGGAACACCCATCTATACGTCCTTGCGTGAGTTGCAGAGGTTTTCTGAGTATGGAATTGTTGAGAAAGTTACGATCGACGAGGACGAGGCAACCGGGCAGTCCAAGGGATCTGGATACATCACATTCAGGTCGACGATGGCTGCCTTCAAGGCGCTCCATGGCCCAAACAAGACGGTCAATGTAAGTGTGTGCAGCCATGATTTTGTTAACGGTCAATGTTGTATTGGTTTTCTTTCTATGTGGCGAGTATGCTAATGTGCGCAGGGATCGGCAATCCTGCCAGCCGATCCCGTATCTTGTCTTTCAACGTTGATAAGCGATGCACTTTTGAAAGCCTCTGTTCTTATGCTCTCGATTCCAAATCAGGGTCGTTCGACTAACTTTTTTCTCACTTCATGGAGTCTGGCAACGGCGTCATCTGCCGCGCTTGGTTCGTGTCAAACATTATATATGTTATGCTTGTGTAGGCTACAGTGGGTTAGCCTATAGGGGGTACACAATTCTAGGGTTTCCTACTTGTACTCATTTTTCACTGCTAGTTCATTCATTCCTGTTCGCTTATTCTCACATGGTATAGAGCGGGTCCTTCTACGGACCGTTTTTTTGGGCCCACCGAAGCGCCCCCCGAGGCGCGATCTTTTTTTTTAGCGACCCCTCGGGTCGCCATTTCCCCTGCGGCCCCGCCGCCTTCACTGACGCGGCCCCGCCGCCCTCTCTGTCGCGGCCCCGCCGCCTGCTCTCACGCGGCCCCGCCCTGGCTCCTTCGCGGCCCCGCTGCCTGCTCTCGCGCGGCCCCGCCCCGGCTTCTACGCGGCCCCGCTCCGGCTTTCACGCGGCCCCGCCGACGGCTTTGTCGCGGCCCCGCCCAGGCCCTTACGCGGCTCCGCCGCCTGCTCTCACGCGGCCCCGCCCCGGCTCCTTCGCGGCCCCGCCGCCTGCTCTCGCGTGGCCCCGCCCCGGCTTCTACGCGGCCCCGCCCCGGCTTTCACGCGGCCCCGCCGACGACTCTGTCGCGGCCCCGCCCAGGCCCTTACGCGGCCCCGCCGCCTGCCCCCGTCGCGGCCCGGTCACCTCCTGACGGCCCCGCCGTCCCTTCGTGACGGCCCCGCCGTCCCTTCCTGACGGCCCCGCCGTCCCCTCCTGACGGCTCCTGCCGTCCCCTTCTACCGGCCCCGCAACTGCACCTGCTGGCCCCGCCGCTGCACCTACCGGCCCCCACCACCCACCCCCCCTTTTCCCGTCGCCTGTCGAGGCGACCTGAGGGGGCCGCTTGCGGTGTGTGGCCTCCCCTGCTTCTCCTCCTCCTTCATCTCCCACTGCAGCAGCCGAGCCGCTCACCTGCAGCAGCCGAGCCGCCCCACCGCCGAGCCGCCCTGCAGCCGAGCCGCCCTGCCGCCGAGCCGCCGGGCCGCTAAGCTGCTGAGCTGCAGTTGCTGCCGAGCCGCCCTGCCGCCGAGCCGCCGAGTCACCGAGCTGCTGAGCTGCAGTTGCTGCCGAGCCGCCTTGCCGCCGAGCCGCCCGAGTCGCCCGAGCCGCCGAGCCGCCGAGCTGCCGAGCCGCTGAGTCGCCGAGCCTACTCTTCCCACCACTGGTGAGCTCTTGCCCTGCTAGCACGCTGCGCGTCGCCTGCTTGCCTGCCTGCCTGCCTTTTGGCTTGCCTGGGTGCCTGCCTCCCTGCTGCTAGTCCTGCTCCTGCTTCTACTTGCGGAGCCAAATGCAGCCCCAGCGACGCCTGCGTGAGTCCCTCACGCCCCAGCAGCTGCGTGAGTGGTACGCTGGTTGGGGCTGTAGGGGTGGCGACGCTACTCCTACTACCACTCCTGCTGCTTCTACTCGTGGTGGCGGCCAGATGCAGCTCCCGCGACCCTCTCGCGTGTCTCTCACGCCTCGCCAGCTTCGTGAGTGGTACGCTCAGAGTGGAGGGTCTCTCAGTGCTGTTCGCTGCTCTTACGTGATTCGCACTGGTACTCGGACTGGTCAGCCTTGTGGGACACGTAGTCATACACCGTCCCGCTGCTTCGCCCGTCTGAGCGACGCCTGGCGTACCGTGTTTGGCGACGAGGCTGAGCTTCCCGACTGGGTGGAGTTGCTTAGGCAGAGGGTAGATATATATGCTCTTGACTATGATGCTATTCTCACTGCCATGTATGCATTGCCTACTAGTGCTGACCGTGCCGGTCACCTGTGCGTCCCGCCTGACCCAGGTATAGGACCTGCTGCTCTAGCTACTGGTGAGGCTGCTGCTCTGGGTGCTAGTGAGTCTCCTGCTCCAGGTACAGGTGCGGCTGCTGCTCTAGGTGCTAGTGAGTCTGCTTCCTCAGGTGCGGGTGAGGCTGCGCTCTCAGGTACCGCGTTGGCTTCGGCCTCCCGCACCTTTACACTTGACTCTGGGGCTTCTCGCTCCTTCTTTCGGGACCGCACCACACTCACGCCGCTTGGTCGGCCGGTTGCAGTCTCCCTGGCTGACCCCTCTGGGGGTCCTGTCCTCGCTCACTTCTCCACTGTCCTCCCGTGTCCGGCTGCCCCCTCGGGCACCCTGTCTGGCCTGTACCTCCCCTCGTTCTCGATGAACTTGGTGAGTGGTGCAGACCTACAGGATGCGGGGGTTCACCAGTTCACTCCTGCGAGTCAGCGGGTGACCCACTGCACGGACGCACGCACAGGCCGGCACCTGGCCACGTTCTCGCGTCGGCCGGGGTCGAGCCTCTACACCCTGACCACTGAGTCTCCTCCTGTCCCCGCGTCCGGTCAGGTAGCAGCGTCGAGTCAGGTGTTTGCTGCTGCGTCCAGGTCTGGTCCTGAGTCTGCCCCCTGTTCGTGTCGCCTCCTGTCTCACGAGACTCTTCTGTGGCACCACCGTCTAGGCCACCCCTCCTTGCCCCGTCTTCGGGGCATGGCTTCCCGTGTCCTTGTCTCTGGTCTTCCCCAGTCTCTCCCTCCCCTTCCTTCGGGACCAGGACCTTCCTGTGTCCCCTGTGTCGAGGGGCGCCTCAGGGCTGCTCCTCACTCCTCCCAGTTTCCCCCGACAGAGGCTCCTCTGCAGACGCTTCACATGGACGTGTGGGGCCCGGCCCCCGTCCGTGGGCAGGGTCACGAGCGCTACTTCCTGTTGGTGGTTGACGACTACTCGCGTTACACCTCAGTCTTCCCCTTGCGCAGCAAGGGTGCTGTCACTGAGGTGCTGATCGACTGGATCCGCGAGGCTCGTCTCCAGCTCAGGAGGAGCTTCGGCTCGGACTTTCCTGTTCTGCGTCTGCACTCTGACCGAGGTGGGGAGTTCTCCTCTCGCCTTCTGCGAGACTACTGTCGTGCACAGGGGATCCGCCAGACCTTTACGCTTCTGGACTCTCCACAGCAAAATGGGATTGCTGAGCGCCGCATTGGCATGGTCATGGATGTCGCTCGTACGTCCATGATGCATGCGGCTGCCCCCCATTTTGTGTGGCCGTTTGCGGTTCGGTACGCGGCGCATCAGCTCAACCTTCACCCCAGGGTCTCTCGGCCCGCGATGTCCCCAGTGTTACTGTGGACGGGGAAGGTCGGCGATGCGTCTGCGTTCCGTGTCTGGGGATCTCGGGCGTTTGTCCGCGACTTGTCTGCGGACAAGCTGTCCCCCCGTGCTGCTCCCTGTGTCTTCCTTGGCTTCCCCCCTGACGCTCCAGGGTGGCAGTTCTACCACCCCTCCTCTCGTCGTGTTCTGTCCTCCCAGGACGTCACGTTCGACGAGTCAGTCCCCTTCTACCGCCTCTTCCCCTACCGTACTCCTTCCCTTCCCCCCCCACCGGACTTCCTGGTACCAATTCCCCCCCCGGTAGACCCCCTCCCCCCTCAGGTTCCTGCCCCTTCAGGTGTGTCCCAGGTAGACACGGTCGAGCCAGTCGAGGTTGCTGCTGAGTCTGGTGCTGCTGCTGGGGGTGCTGAGCCTGGGGGTGCTGAGCCTGGGGGTGCGAGGCCGGGGGGTGCTGAGTCTGGGGGTGCTGAGCCGGGGGGTGCTGAGCCGGAGGGTGCTACGTCAGTAGCTGCTGAGCCTGGGGGTGCTGGGCCTGGAGGTGCGGAGCCTGCGCCTGCTGGACCTGGGGGCTCTCCGGTTCTTCCGTCTCGGCGGGAGCCGCTCTCTCCACAGGAGCTACGCGAGTGGTTTGCTCGCCGCTGGAGGCGTGCTGCTGGAGCTGGAGCTTCTTCGCCTGCTGCGGGTGTTGCCGGTCCCGGAGCTGCTGGGCCTGCGGGTCCTACTGGAGCTGGAGCTACTAAGCCTGGGGGTGCTGAGTCTGGAGCTGCTGAGCCTGGAGGTGCTGAGTCTGGAGCTGCTGTGCCTGGGGGTGCTGAGTCTGGAGCTGCTGAGCCTGGGGTTTCTCCTGCTGCTGCGTCTCGCCGGGAGCCCCTCTCTCCACAGGAGCTGCGCGAGTGGTTTGCTCGCCGCTGGAGGAGTGCTGCTGGAGCTGGAGCTTCGTCGACCGTCGAGGGTGCTGGTGCTGCCGGTCCCGGAGCTGCTGGGCCTGCGGGTCCTACTGGAGCTGGAGCTGCTGAGGGTGTTGGTGCTGAGACTACTGCTGTCTGTCCTGGCGGTGGTTCTGCTGCTGGTGCTGCTGGAGGTCCTGCCGCTGGAGGTGTTGGTGGCGCGGGTGCTGTCGCTGAGGGTGCTGGTGATGTCCCTGCTGAGTCTGGAGCTGCCGCGCGGCCTCGGCCGTACTTCGTTCCGCTCCTACAGCAGGTTCTTGGTCTTTCTCCTTCGGTAGAGTGTCCACAGCCTGTCCAGTCGCAGTCACTGTTGGAGCCTTCCTCTCCTCTGCCTGCTCCCTCTCCTTACACTG